TTTGTGGACATAAGAAAATGTGTTCTGAAGCTGATCATGGGAAAGTCCTTGGAGCAAAGGGATAAATCATCGATGTCAAATTGCTTATCTGCGTTCTGGGAGCAGTTCATGAGATTCTGCGACATAGCTCAGGAGCACCTTAAAGCTTCAAGGATAGCCACTAAAATAGGCAGCAGGGGACTTCTTGTTAATCTTATTACCTTTAAAGGATGAGCCGCTGAAATTTGCTTCAGTGGTGTATATAGAGTAGAGGTGAATTATTTGATTCTTACCTGAGACTGTTGGGAGAAGAGTCAGCTGTGTCACACCAACATGCTGAACCAATATGACAGCCAGGATGGAGATAAACAAGTACAAGTCTGTCAAACAGTAAGGTGGGGAATGGAAGGCAATGAGGATAGCAAAGTTGTAGACAGTCGGAGGCTGTCCAAACTCAACCTCCTACAGCCTGGTTAGTTAACACCGACCTATGAGCAAGATTAAATACCTTGCTTTCATTTTTGACGCTTTTACGGCGAGGCACCCTAATGTGACTGCTCACAGAATTTAAAGATATTGGTAAAGAGTTGTACAACTTTAGCTCCACACAATGTAGATTTGCCTCCAATAAAACAGGATCCTTATTGCCTAGAAGCAATCCCGGGTGAAAGCAGAAATCCAATCCATGTTGGAAACCCACCGGACTGAGCAGAGACAAAGCAGCTGGAGTTCCCCAGTCATTTGAGAGCCTTCTGCATAGACTACCGAAATGGGAATACAGTAGCCAGTACAGACCTGCCCAATTCCTGTCCTGGATGGACAGGTTGGGAAGTGCTAAAATGGATTAGCTGAAGAGTGAGTGGCAGGATCCCTATGCTCACCAAGTTAAAGAAATATCGGCCCTGTCAAATGGCTTTATCTAATGTCAAATTGTAGTTGGTATTACTAACTGTTTGGTACACTCTGATGATGTACTAACATTTAGTGACGCTTGGAGGGCTCACTCGGAACAGTGGGAAGCTCTTTCTGAAAGATTACAATCAACTGCTTTAGTGGTGAGCCTTGCCAAGAGCAAATTTGCTGAAGGATGTGCACCTTGGGCATGGGACAGGACTGTCAATAACAGCAGAAATAGTGGTGTGGCCTCACCTAAGATCGAATGGAGCATCATGAGGTTTTTGAGGATGCATGTTTCAGATTATAAGTACCAAGCATTAGCACTACGGCTGCTCCACTGCCAGACTTGTTACAAGGTAGTGCGGTTAGGGGAGTGCCAAGCATCTTTTAAGAGCCTGAGAGTGCTCTTAATCAATGAACTAGTACTGGAATGCCCTATCGGTTCTAGGGACCACCAGTATGTATATGTGTGTGCATGTGATTGTGTGTCCACAAATGTTTTTGTGAGTGCACGTAGGCATAGACATGTCTATACATGCATGAACATGGCTATGCATTTGTTATGTACGGGTCTATGCATCCGTGCATGCATTTGAGCATTTGTACGTATGCCTGTATGTACATTCATTCACGTTGATACATGCAACTGTGGAGCCTGCAGGTGGCTGTATATGTGTCTGAGCATGCTGGGTTCTCTGTGTGTATACACGTGTTGGTGTGTACACATGCACGTGCCTGTGCATGCATGCACTCTTCTATGTGGGTGTCTTTGTGTGCATCCTACCACAACTCTCACACATCTCTGGGACCAACCTCATTAAGGGGTATGATTGGATGCAGCTTTTGGTACAAATTTGTCTTTGAGCCTTAATGCTGGGCTCCAGCAACTGCATCTGTTTTCATTTGTTTCAGGGATAAAAGAGTCTCTGAAACACATGCAGGCGCTGAAGGCTATACACAACATATGGAGTGTAAACATTCAGGCCGCCTGCTGCAGGCAGTTCAGAGGCAAGGGCTAATGGAGAATTTACACTTTGATGAATAGCACACTGTCCTGTTTAAACAAGCAGGATGGCCCAGTTGCCTGATGTATATTTGAAGACAGTAACAAATCATAACATTGCAGGGGTCAGTCAGCAGCAGGTATGATTTATTTATACGATTAACAAATTCATTCTTGACTATACGGTCCAGAATATGTACATTGTGTGTGGAATGCTCCACATTCCTGAGGAGAATTGATCTTTATTTTCCTGCCACACACCTCTTTGGAATATACAGGAGCGTTTGGTTTGCTCTCTTTCTGAACTGGTGACCTCACAAGATGGCTCCCAATTTAACCCTCACAGCAGCAGTGAATGCAGAGATTCTGAGCTTTGTAGGCGAGGCACTTTTTCTCTGTTAGGTTAATGAACAACAACTTAACCTGTGACTCCTATTCAGCCGTGCTGAACTGCAAAATGCATACCCTGTGAGGACATTTGCTCCCGAAAGTGGTGAGTGTTGTGGCAGATCGTGATTCATGGGGGAGTCTTAACACCGAGAGTGATAGAGCTATTTGACTCTGGGGGCATCACAGCCAAACTCCAGCCCACGCTTTCCCTCTATTAATGATCAACAGTAGACAATTATTTGGGGTCCTAAACTGCAACTTGAGTCTGCAGTTTTTGGACCCACTGAGCAGTTTTGCATGTTAAAATTGTTAACATCCTTTCCCAATCTTGGAAGTCTCCATTAGATCACCTCAAAGTCTCCTTTTCAAAAAGAAACAGGGCAAAATTCTTTAATCTTCATTCATAACCTGGATTCCAGACAGCTAGTTTCACTACTGTACCTTACCGGGGTGAATAACACTCTCTTGTTTTCGAGAGTCCATGCAAACTAATTGAACCTGTCATTGAGTGTCGAACAACGTTTCCCAGTTCCTTTGCCACTGTATGACTCTTTAATGGTGTTGATCTGTGATCACAATGAAGTGACTGCCTCATTTCACATTGAACCTCAAAAAGCCAGCAAGGATCCCGTCAGCTTTGGCTAGATTCAAATCCAAATTCTAGAGGTGAAAGGATGTTGGTCCCTTTCCCCTCCACCCCAACCCCTCTTGAAAGCATTAATCTTATGTTTAGCTTTGAACTTCGTTGTTACATTAATCATGACTTGTGTGAACAATGCATCAACTTTACAAATTCTCATCCTTGTCTTCAAAGGTCTCCATGGTTTCACCCCTCCCTATTTCTTCAAATCCCAGACTCCTATTCCCCAGCCTCTGATGTCACTGCATTCCTCCATTGTGACCTTCTGTACATCCCCGACTTTTTTCACCTCTTTACAACGTAATGTCCTTAATTTTTGCCTTCTGCCTTGAATCACCCTATCTCCACCTCTTCGTTTTAAGATGCTCCTATTTTCTTGATCTAGCTTTTGATTTCTGATCTCAATATCTCCTTCTTTGATTCGGTGTCAATGTTTACCTTTTCTAGTTCTACTCCTGTGAAGCCTCTTGAATTGTTCAAATGGGCGCTACCTCAATCAGATGTTGTTGTTGCTGGGAACTAATTTTATGGTGAAAATGTACCTTTGAAGGCACGCGAGGCCACATACCATTTTTGTGGTTTTGCTTGGGTATTTATGGATTGGAGTGTCAGATAAATTTTCTTCAAACACCCCGATTGCAATACTTTGTAACCTATTCCACCATTCACTCCCACAGCAATCATGAAACCAGCTAGAAGAAACAATAAAAATGTGTTATAGTGTAATATGAGAGATGGCTTAAAACAACACTGTAGGTCTCTGGGCTTCTAGTCCAAATAACATAACCACAACACTATCATACTCAATCATGCTGTTAAGGCACAGCCGATTTTGCATTAGAAGAAGGGTCTAATTGCTCTCTCTTCATTAAAGTTGGACCAACACCTCTGCATTGCTGCGCTCAACAAATTGCACTCTCAAACATTACCCTCCACATTGCTCTTCTACTTTGTGTTTACTTTAATGAACTCATCTACAATTTATGTTTGGGCTGCTTCATATCGAACAGGTTAACAGTTTAAGTAAATTAGTCCCACAGGATTTCTTTACCACAAGGGCATGCACCGAGCATTTAAAATAGTGCTCCGCACATTGCTCAACCCTCGAAGCCTTATCATCACCTTGTATTTTACAGCTTCAGCTATTTAGGAATGAGTTGATGAAATAGACGCTTACAGAATGAGAAGGTCAGAAGAATCAGCCCTCATATTGAAATTGTACCTTATACGTCCTCTGGATGTCTCAATGCTCTTCCGAACTGATTAATTCACTCTTGTGTATGCTAACACTGCATCTAATATGTTTGCCACAAGCAGAATAAGTGGAACGCTGAATCTGTTTATGTTTGTGTTCTTTTGAGGGGGGAATGATAGCTGCGACAGTGGGAGAGCCTCTCCTATTCTTTTTCAATGGTTCAGTGAGATCTCTTACGTTGACAAGAAGAGCCAGCCTTTACCAATGCAGCATTCCCTCAGCATAGTCAGTACACCAGTGTCAGATTATATGCTTAAATGCAGATTGAAAAGCAAAAGTGCTGCCACCGACATATCTGATTCGACAGCACAGAGAAAGGTTTTCCGTGCTAACAGCATTAAGTGTTGTTCAGAAGCCTCCAGTCAAGATCCATGACCAGCAATCTAACATGTCTCAGGAAAAGGCTAGTCCGAAGGATTCGTTGAATATTTTAGGACAGAATTGGAGAATCCAAACTAACAAAGGGTACGAGGCACAGACAGGAAAGTGGAGTTGAGGCTGCAAACAATTCTCCTGACTGGCAGTTCAGGCTTGAGGGCTTGAATAGCATCCTCCTGCTTCTGATATGTATGTTTGTAAAGGCTAAGAATGATGTGGTGTATCAGAAGTGTTTGTCGTAACAGACTGTGAGAACGCTTACCTGTGCTAAGTGTTAACCAGATAACGCCGACCTACACAGGTCCTTTCTGTGAGCGTCTGTGTTTCTAATAGGTCCTATCACTCCCTGTTCTGGTGCGATGAGCAGTGAGTGATACCTTTTCCTTCCCAGCCATTTGTTTTGGAGGGCACACTAGGAAAATGTTAAGCTAAACGGTGAATCCTGGTTCTGTTTCCAGAGGGCGAGCTATACGCTGGAATTTCCTCTGACTTCATGAGCCGGGATGTGGCGTTCTTCCGTAGTCTGGGACATCGTCGTGTGATCCGCACTGAGCAATATGACTCGACGTGGCTGCAAGGTGAGGGTCAGATTGGAGTGAAACTCCCAATCCCAGCATCAGACCCATCCTGTCAGTTTACCAATTCAGTCTCCCAGCTCTGCGTTGCTCAATGCCTTGCCTAGAATCCACAGCCGGAAACTTAAGAGTTCTGGGGTGAGGGAAGGACCCCTTGTTTTACTAAGGGGAAATATTCAGTCACAAAGGAAATTAAATAAATGCTGTGACAAAGGGAGGCATTTTGCAGTGTAATGGGGAAGAGCAGGGGAGTGGGGGCGAATTGATTGGCTTTTTCAAAGACAGTCATGATGAGCTGAGGAGCCTGCTTCTCTGCTGTATGATCCTCCAACTTTAACCCGAGTGAGACGAGTAGACACTGTGACTTTGCAGGCACACGATGGCTCAGTGGTTAGCACTGCTGCCTCACAGCGCCAGGGGCCCCGGTTTGATTCCACTTTTGGGCGACTCTCTGTGTGGAGTTTGCACATTCTCCCCGTGCCTGCGTTAGTTTCCTCTGGGTGCTCTGAATTTCCTCCCTCAGTCCAAACCTATGCAGGTTAGAATGGATTGGCCATGCTAAATTGCCTGTCGTCTCCAGGGACGTGCAGGCGAGGTGGGTTAGAGAAGGGAAATTCAGGGTTACCGGGATGGGGTGGGTCTGGGTAGGATGCTGTTTGGAGGGTCGGCATGGACTCGATGGGCTGAACGGCCTGCTTCCACACTGTAGGGATATTAAGATTCTGTATTCCAGTTGATTTTGAACATATTCTGTTAATGCCAGATAAAAGAACAATTGGTCTTTTTTCTTTGATTACAAAAAGGAGAAAATGAATCTCAGTTATGCTGAATTCTGGATTGGCTGGTTGATATGGACTCAGTTGAGATTTTGTGGTCATGTAGAAAGTGCCAACACATGCTCTGTACTTGGTTTAGTTCCATCTGCTCCTCTTCAGACCCTAGGTTTGTGAAGGTCCATGCCATCGCGGAGAGCAGCAATGCAGAGGATGACAAAGTGTACTTATTTTTCACTGAGCGTGCTCAGGAAGTGGACAATGGCAACGGGAAGGTCATTTACTCGAGAGTGGCTCGGGTTTGTAAGGTGAGGGGATAATAGATTTGAGCGGTAGTGAGCCAGAGAGACTGTATAGAAAAAAACATGTGGATTGATTCACACTTCTACAGCTGAGCCTGAAGACTTTGTGATGACAGCCCACACTTTACAATGAGTTTTGTGGCTGATAATTGCCAAATGTCAGGGAACCAGATAATACAAATCCTTTTGATACTCTGAAAGTTAATCAGGACGAGCGAGGAGTGTTGTAATTCATCAGATTGGATGATCCTCATAAAAGAGGGATATCCTCCAAAACAATGCTAGCTCATCATTCAGAACAATCCAATATCACCACTCACCCCACACCCCCAACCAGTGCAACTAATTAGAGGGGGCGGCACGGTGGCTCAATGGTTAGCACTGCTGCCTCACAGTGCCAGGAACCCAGATTTGATTACACCCTTGGGTGACTGTCTGTGTGGAGTTTGTATATTCTCTGCATGGGTTTCCTCTGGGCGCTCTGGTTTCCTCCCACAGTCTAAAGATGTGCAGGCTAGGTGGATTGGCCATGCTAAGTTGCCCGTAGTGTTCAGGGATGTGTAGATTATGTGGGTTATGGGGGGCTGGGTCTGGGTGGGATGCTCTGAGGGTCGGTGTGGACTTGTTGGGCCGAAGGGCCTGTTTCCACACTGTAGGGATTAGGTGATTTATGATCAGGTGTTTCTATCTAGAAGTCTGTTCAATGTTTTGATGGCTCTTTGTCGATAGAACTGAATTGATAGTCATTTTAAACTTCCAAGGTTCAATCTGTATTCACATTTTGCAGTTGCAACTTTTGTGTTTTACTACTAACTGTACCCTTAGCAATTTTACACATTTCTATAAGATCACCTCCCAGTTCCCCCATTCCACCCATAGCTTTTGAAAGAACTCCAATAAAAATGGTTCAAACATAAGTTGCTTTTAGCGAATAAAATTATCATGAATTATTTGTCATTTAATTTCATTTATTAAAACCTTGTTTCCCAAACCTTAATTAATTTTGGATAAGATTATTTCTTCTCAAAGTATCCCTGTCATCGTCATTAGACTGTTTGGTCTGTAATTGTCAAATTTATCTGTTCCCCTATTTTTGGATTAAACAAGTCTCTATCATTTTCTATTCCTTCCGTGTTCTGGAACTGCCCTTGTATCTAAACACGAATGAAGGTTTGTGGTCAAAGACCCTGCAATTTCCACTGTGACTTCCCTTAGTAGCCTAGAATGCAGCCTATCCAGATTGAGTGACTTTTCCTCTTTGAGTACTACAGTACCTGCCTTTTGAATACTCCCGTTTTGTTTATTTTTGTGTCACCGTAATTTGGGACTGCCTTCTTGTTCACAAAGAACTTGGCAGCATCTTTTCCTTGGCTGATGCGAAGCAATCATTGAGTAATTCAGCCATGCACCTTGCCTCCACATCTTGCCTGTCCTATGACCATACTTACTATTTATATTTACAAAAACTTTTAAGTTCTCTTTTGTTTTACCCAACAGTCAGTTCTGATAAGCTCACTGTGCCCTTGCTTTTTGGCCTCCTGTTCTTTTTTGCATTTAGTGGCTTCCCTGCTGATCTATGAACCTGACAATTATCACAAGTCTCGATTGTCTGTTTCTTTGTGATCTCCAAATCTTCAGCCATCCAGGGCAGTCTAACTCTGGAAGCCCTTTCTTGCCACTGCATGGGAAAGAGTCCAGTCTCTACTTGAACTATATCCTCTTTGAACGTTTCCCTTTGCTCATTTACTGTGTTAGACATTTTCTAACCAATCTGTTTAGAGATATTATGATACTAAGGTTTTAGAGTAGATTTGTAGCTCGGGTTTTGGATGTTGTGGTTTCTTGGCTCGCCGAGCTGGTTCATTGTTTCACAAACGTTTCATTACCCAGCAGGATCTGTTGGACAGCGAACCAGCTTGATGAGCCAACCAACCACAAGATATTATGACACATGTTTGGAACAGGTGGGGCTTGAACCCGGGTCTCCTGGGTCAGAGGTATCACTGCGTCACAAGAGACCTCCATTAACAATGTTACCTGCCAATCTTTGATTCCAATCCGCCTGGGTCAGAACCCTATTGAGTTCATTAAAGTTAGAATTCCTCCAGTAAAGCACTTCTGGGCTTGAACTGGCTTTCCTGCTAAGATTTTAGAATCCTTTCCAAGATGTCCAACTCTTTAAATTCTTGCTTATAGTCTAAGGTCAGACTGAATGACCAGCCTGAGGACAAAGAGGGATGACCAGTGTTAAATGGATGCAGTATCTTCTTGCAGACCCCAGCTCATGCAGCTCTTTTGTTTCTCCCAGAATGACATTGGTGGTCAACGCAGTCTGGTCAACAAGTGGAGTACCTTCCTGAAGGCTCGACTTGTGTGTTCTGTTCCAGGCTCTGAGGGAATTCAAACCCATTTCGATGAACTGCGTGAGTACCACACTGCTTAAACTCTCCATGGGATTACATAAAGAAAGTCATAGCCTAAATACAGGGGATGGTTCAAATGATATATTGGTGGGTGCCAAAATTAGCTGTTGTTACAGTTGGCTCAGTTGTCTCACTCATGAGCTGGTTTAGAAGCACACAACAGACTGGAGGAAACAAGGACACAGAGCGTTAAAGATTCCCATGCATACATTCCTTGTGTACAGCAGGATTGTCTATCAGGAAAGTTCATGCTCCCATATTTTGCAACCGTTTGGAATTTACAATTTTTTAACATGTGCCCCAAATTGCAGTGTCTCACACCAACAGAGTTGAAATACGTAAAGTTGACAGCTTAAGACACGCACATCTCACTCCAGACTACTACTTGGAAGGAGTTCTAGGCTGTTAAAGAATGAGTGTGAGACACAAGCAAAGGTTTCATGATACAAAGGGCATTTTTTAACTCTTACCCCCATATGGCTTCTGGAGGTCAATGAAATTTTTGAGACAGAGATCAATAGATTTCTGTTGGGCAATTGGATCAATGACATAGATCAAAGTGGGTAAATGAGATTGAGTCAACCATTATCTACTTGAATATTGGAACAGACTCAACGATCTGAATAGCTTCTAGTTCCTATTACAAGAACAACAACTGCTTGCATTTATGTAGCACTTTTAATGGAGTGCTTAATAGGAGCATCATCAACAGATAGACAAATGACACAACGCCAAAAAAACAAGAGATTAGGACAGGTTACCAAAAGCTTTGTCAGATAAATAGTTGTTAAAGAGGGGAAAAGTAAGAGAGGAAAAGAGACATAGTGACAGATATGCAGAGATGAAGGAATAGGATGCTGATAGCACAGTCACCTTCAATAAGGTGAAGGAAGTCAGGAATGATCAAGGGATCAAATTTCAGGGAATGTAGTTTAAGAATATCATTGGGAGCTTCTCGGATCTTGAGACGTAGAAGAGCTGAATGCAAGGCTAATGTAACTGTTAATGTTTATTGCCTATAAAATGAATACAGAAATGTGATAGAACAGGGGATAAGCTGTGTTTTGTTAGTGTCTTCTTCCCTCAGGTCTCAGTCCCAGGTGATCTGATAACATGTGACACAGGCCCTTACACATAGGGTCAATAACCATTGTCAGAGTGTTATTCCAGTTAGCTTTTCTCACATGATTTTAGAGGGCCAGAGGAGATTCTAGAGAAATAGGTATAAAGCAGCACTGAGCATTAAGGGACATCTCCAACTGTGTATATCGTCACTGCACATAATGCAGTGAATGCTGTCTCTAAACATGTCTATCTTATCATGAGATATACCCAGCAGTTCATCTTTCAGAGCACAGTGACTATTCTGTCACTTGAGCCCTTAGGCTTATTTCATGGTGGTCAATTAGCTAGCTTTGTTAGTGTAAACTTATAGAGAGTTCTGCCTGTGAATGATAATGTGTTCAGTGATCCAGATGAAGTGAAAGATTGTTTCCGAATACCTGACACCTCTGCTGAGATGGAAGCATACGGGCAGGAGCGATTGGAAGATAGAGTCGATGGGATAGTAAACATGCTTCACTATTTGTTTATAAACGTCCACAAGCTTGATAGTGCACATTCCTTCTCAACGCAACCACTGTTGCAAAAAGGTAGTGAAATAATACAGTGACTGATGCGGTAAAAATACTGAAATTACTTTACCAAACTCCTTCCAGTTCAGGTCCTTTAAGGACAGTGACTTGATTTGTGCTATTACAGAATGGCCGCTGAGGGTGGGAACAGACCTTGAACCTAAAGAACAATCAAAGTGATATTGGGTGGGAGGACCAATCAGAATCATCTTTGTGTGGGGGTGGGTAAGGGAATACAGGTAAAGTGGGAAAGGCTTGTAGCTTGGAACATCCTCCATTTGTTGTTCTACCCAGTTGGTGGGCTAATTTAAAATACCTTTGAGTTTGGAACTTTAATGTTCTTGCGAAGCTTATGGTGGTTGAATTTCCTTGGGGGAATCTCCAGCCATAACCTAGTGAAGATCTTAGAGAAATGATAGGAGATTGAGTGAATGCCACAGATATTACTGGTGTGAGCACCCATTTGATTTCTAACTTACAGTCAACTAGACCATAAATTCAAGCCCATGACACCAGCTTCTATAGTGGCCAACATTTCATTACACTGCCAAGGGAATGTTGCAGTATGGGGGTGCCATCTTTCAGAAGAAATATTGAGTGCAGCTGCCATCTTTGATGACTGTAAAAAAAAAACCCGCCTTGTTAAAGAGGAGCAGGGGAATTCTCTGTGGCCTCTTAGCCCATATTTCATCCTCAACCTTCACGCTCTGGCCCTTCAATCACTTGCTGTTTGTGATACCCTGTTGGGAGATAATTCGCTGTCATGTTTGCCTGGTTTATAACAGTGGTTGAACATCAAAGGTGAGCCATCGGTTTTAAAGTACTGTGGATCACCCAGAGGACATAGATGGATGTTACGTATAGATCCTGTTGTTGTACAATCACAGTAAGTCTGAAGGTCAGGCACAAACTCAACAGGGTCAAATAGACTCTTTCCTTGGCGTAATGATACAGAGGTCAGGGTTTCTGCTTATTATACACTGTTAATATCAATGCGCCTGTTTCCTTTACAGAGGATGCCTTCGTGCTCAATGGGAAAGACAAAAAAAATCCGCTGATATATGGAGTTTTCACAACATCCAGGTGAGAACCCTGTCCATGGGAAAGCTTCAGCCTATAGGTGCATCAAAGCCCTGTAGAGAGAAAAAAAACACAAATCATGTCAATACTATCATGAAAACTGGGTTCTAATTAATAATACCCGATCTCGCGTATAATCCAAAACTCATGTGTTTCACTGATGGGGTCAGTTGGAGAACCGTAAAAAATTGACAGGAGCAATCATTCAGGCTGAAGTGTCTCTAAGATTGAAGCAACCTACTTACAAAAACTGAAGAACTCTGCAGCCCTCCAACTCTAGGTTCCAATCCATTTTCAACTTCCTTCATCCTAATATACCATGACCCTGTGTTCAACGTTTGAAGCCCTGGGCTGCTCCTCCTTAATCTTCTCCGCCCATCTCTTTGCGTCTAAAATGCACCTTAAAACCTACCTGTTTGACTAATCTTCGGTCACCTGTCTTAATAACCCCTCTTTATGCTCAGTACCAACTTGCATCTGAATGCCATCACGAAGAACTACCTATTTCCATATCGATAACATTGCCCAACTTCTGCTCCAGCTCATCAGATATTGAAGCCTTCATTAATGGTTTTGTATCTGTAGACTTTGACCATTCCAACACACTCCTGGCTGGTTTTGGATTGTATTCTTTGGTGAGATGGGGGCATCCTAATTGGCTTTGAGAAGGTGGCGGTGAGCCACATTCTTGAATTGCTGTAGTCCAGATCAGTGGGGTCAAGTACACCACAGTTAGGGATGGAGTTTCAAGATTTTCACTCAGGGACAATGAAGGGACAGTGATATTATATATTGTATTATATATCACCGTCCCTTCATTGTCACTGAGTGAAAATAGTGTATGGCTTGGAAGGGAACTTGCAATTGGCATTGTTCCTATGCATCTGCTACCCATGTTCTTGGAGTTAGTTGAGGTCATGGGTTTGGAAGTTAAAGAAGGCTTGACAAATTTGATCTCAAATTCTACTTTGCATAGACTTTATCATCCAAAGAGCTGCTGTTCATATCCTAATATGTGCTAAGTCCTTTTCACCTGATGTCACTGACTTGTATTAACTCTTAGTTAAATTCTCATCTTTAATTTCAGATCCTTCCATGGTCTTGCTCCTATCTATCTCTGTAATCTTCTTCAGCCCCACAACCTTTCTAGGTATCTTTGCTCATCTAATTCTAGCTTTCATATACCTCCGATTTTAATTACACCGAAGAACAGAAGTATTAGGAGCAGGAGGAGCCATATTTCTGCTTCTCACGCCTGCCCCTCCATTCCAATAAGATCATGGCCAATCTGCCCTGGGCCTCAACTCCTCTTCCAAAAATCCATCGACCTACTTTTTAAATATTTTTAGGGATCAAAGTTCTATTTTGCTTCATCATGCCTCTTTCAAGTGTTTTGATCTGTTCCACAGAATCCCTACCGTGTGGAAGCAGGCAATTCGGCCCATTGAGTCCACACTGACCCTCCAAAGAGCATTCCACTCAGACCCAGCCCCCTAACCCTGCACTTCCCATGACTAATCCACCTAGCCTGTATATCCTTGGACAAGATGGGCAACTTAGCATGGCCAATTCACCCAACCTGCACATCTTTGGACTGTCAGAGGAAACTTGAGCAGACGTGGAGAACATGCAAACTCCACGCAGACAGTCGCCCGAGGGTGGAATCGAACGCAGGTCCCTGGTGCTGTGAGGCAGCCGTGCTAACCACTGAACCACCATGCCGCTCAATGTTTCATTATATTAATGTCATTGTAAATATACTATTAGTATTGTCGACACCACTGCGAAGCACCTTTGACCGTTTACTACGTTGAAGGTTCTATATAAATGCAAACAAAGTTGTTGCTGGATGGGAGTTGAGTGCACGGTGGGACTTGGGCTGTAAGAAGCATGAAACAAAATAACCGTTTTGATAATCATTGACCTGGCAGTTATGGTTATTTTGTCAAACAGCAAGATCCAGCTCCTTCAAACTGCAAACTGAATGGTTTACAAAGAGGGAAAACAGTATGGGAATCCCAGCCAGAGTTTCACCTTGGTTAACATGAATGAAGCTGCACAAAAAGCCCGCAGTCTCTTATCTGAGAGTTCAGTGCCGACCCCCTGCATGGTTGCTTGCAGTTCGGAAACTATAAAGTGCCTCTTCAAAAGGTTGCGATCTGTTGATAATGGGCTTGTTTATTTGTTCATCTCTGAGGGAAGCGGAAGCATGACCTTGATCCAAACTCGTGCTGTTGGTGTGGTGACAGAGAGCAATTTGTATATTTTCAGTATACATTCTCCTCCCTGAATATTCAAATGAAACCCATTGTACAGTCTCGAAGTGGAAGCGTTGGGGGAAATCAATGTTTCCCATCTTGGTCAGGATGACCAAATTACAGTTTAAAACACGTATACTTTTTAATGTCTGCCAACAATCACAGAGCTTGATTTTTATTTTGAAGTGCTGCACCACAACAGTTTTGGGGCTATTTATGTCAAAGTTCTGATTATCCCTCTTAAAATGACAGCTTTTCCCAGATGAAAGACTGGAATTGTTTGAACACTGCAGTCGCTGCGCTAGGATTTCTAAATAGTTTTTCCCTAATATAAAGAATGATTTCCCCACTTCCCAACACTGGTCAAGACACAAGCACCATTCTTTAATGAAAGGTTTGGTGGACAGTGAATGATGGTATCATTAGTTCCTTCTCATTAATATGGTTACATACAGGCATAGAGTGGAGATAATTCCCCACTGCTGTAATCTCCTGCGTTTTGAACATAGAACAAAGAACAGTATAGCGCAGAAATGGGCCTTTCAGTCCACAATGTGCTGAACACGATGCCAAATTAAACTAATCCCTGCTGCCTGCCCATGGTCCATAATCCCTCCATTCCTTGCATATTCATATGCTTATCTAAAAGCCCCTTAAACATCCCTATCATATCTGCCTCCACCACCATTCCTGGCAGCACGTTCCAGACTCCTGCAACTCTCTGTGTAAAAAAACTTGCCCCTCACATCTCCTTTGAACTTTCCCCCTCTCACCTTAAATGCGTGCTCCCTAGTTTTAAACATTTCAGCTCTGGGAAAAAGATTCTGAGCGTCAACCCTTTCTATGCATTTCATAATTTTATAGACTTCTATCAAGTTTCCCAACAACCTTTGCCGCTCCAGAGAAAACGACCCGAGTTTTTCTGGCCTCTCCTTGTAGCTCATACCCTCTAACCCAGGCAGCGTCCTGGTAAACCTCTCCTGCACCCTCTCCAAAGCTTCCATGTCCTTTTGGTAATGTGGCGACTAGAGTTGAACACAGAATTGAAGCACTTTCTGTGTTACTTCGCAGCTATTGTGGCCTACTGCTCATCTTAAGCCTAAATGCCTCTGATTAGCACTGATCAGCTTTGTGATCTCACTTGCTGGGAATCTGTCTCCATGTTATTGGAAGAGGTGGCTCAATGAAGATCCCAACTGGTGACTGTTCCCCTCATCGAGGGGCTTGGATAGGGTCATCCATCTGTGCCCTAACCTTGTACAGAAAATCCAGCCCACCATAGTACCTTTATTTACGTCGACAGAACTCATGATTAAAACGACAGCAATCTTCTAGTCAAATCAGTGTGATTACACTGAGAAACTACACTCAGCGGTGGAAAGCTGTATACAAACAGCACACACACAAACAATTCCAGCTGCTTGAGGTGGCACAGTGGTTAGCACTGCTGTCTGATAGTGCCAGGGACCTGGGTTCAATTCCAGCTTTGGGTGACGGTCTGTGTGGAGTTTGTACACTCTCCCCGTGTCTGCGAGGGTTTCCTCTGACAGCCCAAAGATGTGCAGGATAGGTGGAGTGGCTATGCTAAATTGCCCATAGTATTCAGGGATGTGCAGGCTGGGTGGGTTAGCCACAGGAAATGTTGGGTAATAGGGTAGGGGGCTGGGACTTCTTCAGAAGGTAGGTGTGGATTTGATGGGGTCAAAAGGCCTGCTTCCACACTGTGTAGGTATTCTATGACTTATAACAATATAGTCTCCAGTGATGAATGCCAGGGAAAATATTCCATCATCTCCTCTCAGTCACTATGTGTAGCTATATTAGTGAGAGGGGAGTGGTGATACAGTGCTATCCATATTCTTAGTGCCAACTTATATTTGAAAAGAACAGTTCAATAAACCTGACTGTTTCTCTTTAAATGTTTCTACCTTTCTTTATCCTCGTCATTTTCAATTCAGTTTCGTTATGCAACCTCCTGAACTTCCAGATCCTCAAGCGTGGGCCACCTCTTTGCATCCCTCAGATTTTGATTCCTTTAGAGCTTTCCATCCATCCTACAGTCTGTGGGCTTTACATTGATCACAGTTTACTTGTTTAACCTTGTCTGCCTTTTACCTTGGGGTCGCAGTGAATAGTGAATGTGCCTCCGTGTGAAAAGCCAAGGAAAGTACATTTAAAACCACCTGTCCATATCAGGATGAGTATCAATCTACAGATCCTTCTGACGTACGCCAATGATGGCCAATAAGAATTCACACAACGCCAGGTTACAGTCCAACACCTATGTCAGGTGCGGGGGCTGCGTTCCGAAAGCTTGTGTGATTCCAAACAAACCTATTGGACTATAACCTAGTGTCATGTGACCTCTGACTTTGTCCACCCCAGTCCAACACCAGCACCTCCATGTTACGACCGATAAGAATGGGAGAGATTCCTGGTCAGTCTTGTGATGGCAACAAATCTGAGCCCCTGCCATCACTTGTCTATCATTCCACTTTACAAAAACAAAATGAAGAAGGGTTACTGGACCTGAAACGTTAACTTTGCTTTTCTATCTACAGATGCTGCCGGAGCCACTGAGTTTTTCCAGCAATTTCTGATTCGATTCCAGTTTACAACATGTGTATAGAAATGTCTGTTGTCACAGTGATTGACAATACCTGATCGAGTTGTAACATACCTTTTTACTCACTTGGCTCTTAGTGGAGCCTGTAAATGTGACCTTTCATTTGTACTTTGTGGCGTAAGATAATCAGGTTCTTTCTGTAATGTCTCCTCCCACTGTTAGTCCTGTCCTGAGGAGAATGATTCTTACTGCTATCTTCCAATGAAGGTATAACACCTAGCCATCAATCTCCATTATTGGATAAGCCTTTAAAAAGGGCATTAAACTTTTTGCTAATAACCAGATTAAACCGTTCAAGAACAACAACAACTTGCATTTATGTGGTAGCTGTCATGTAAAATACCTGCAAGGTGCTTCATGGGAGTGTAATTAAATAAGGGCTGACAGTGGGCCGAAGAAAAATATTTGCAAGTGTGATTTAGAGCTTGGTCCAAAATGGGGCATCACAACAGCGAGGTTTAGAGAGAGAATCCCAGAATGTAGTGTCTACAGCTGCCAATGGGGGAACTGAAGGAAGCGAGAAACACCATAATAAGAATTGGAGGAAAGCAGGTTTCTCAGAAGAATATTAGGGTGAAAAAGTTTACCCTTCAAAGGAAGGGAAAAACTAGGAAGAGATTTGAACATGAGGATGAGATTTTGAAAAAGACTGGAAACACTTATCAGGTCTCTCGGCGTTGGTGGAGACAGAATGGTCGCTGTCAGACCTGCTGAGTATTTTCAGCATTTTCTGTTCTAAATTCCAGCATCCTCAGTGTTCTGCTTTCGGGTGTGATTTTAAATCGGAGACGACGGGGGAGCCAGGAGGCAAAGACAGTTTAGCGATTGTATGGGTGTGTTGGAAATCAATGCAGGTTCTCTCAGAATTGGTGCCGATCTGAATCTGAAGAGATCTGAATTAAGTTGAAAGCAAAGAGATATGCGGCCACTGGAATTTGCTGTTGTCTGCATGTGAGGCAACATGTCACTGACTGGAAGTGAATGTGGGTCATAAGGATTTTCTCTCCGGCAACATGTCTGCTGATATTTTGTCTGTCAATTTTTTGATGTGTTAATGCTCCATTTGGCAGCAAGAATCAATCTCAGCTATCAGCAGCTCTGATAGAGCAGATAAAGTTTCTAAACAAGCCACAATTATCATTCCTGACGCAGCATGTTGTCAGCAAAGTACACAGGAAGCCCAGGGTTTCATATTCTGGATTGCCACAAGGTGTGTGGCATTTGTAGACTGGTCAGGGTTGGCATAATATTACAATGACTATTTGTGTTTTCACACACCTTATCAACCAAGCAATCGATCTTCATTTTGAGAAGATTGGATTAAAATAACTAACATTTTGGATTGTGCTATTTGCAGACAAAATAGGCATTTGTGACCTGCCCCTAATTGTCCTTGAGAAAGCAAGTGCTTGGCCACATCATGGACCACTGCCTTGTGTGTGGAAGATGAATTTCCTTTTGGTTTTGGTATGCACCATGCGCTCCGAGAGCCGGTGAACATTGCAACATTCAGCGACCAGTTTCAAGAGGTTGCTGCGTTTGACTGTGGAGCAAGGGTGGTTATTGTTGCAAGACTTTCGGTGGGTCACACAAAACTCTTCAGAGGTTATTGAAGAGCAGTTTCTAGCTCACAATTAATTGGAGAAGGTTAGACAGAGGCAGAAGCAGGCTGCATGCAGAAACATTCAGTTAAGTTGTGCTCCTGAGGAGTGCAGTCTGAATTCAGGAAAAAGTTCTAGGAGTTAGCAGGTGTATCGTAAATAAGATGATTCGGGCTTGATGAGAAGTCAAGGATAGCCCTGTGCAGAGAAGACACAACCTCAGGAGGAGCTTCGAGGAATCTGTAGGTATAACTAAGTATTGGCGCTAAGATGTGGGGAAGTCCCCTAAGTTGTGGGAGCATGGAGAACACTGTGAGCCATTAATAGTTCACTGCAGCTATGAATAAGAGTGAAGGAAACCCACAAGCAATTGGATACCGTCTTGAAAAGGAAAATTCTGCAGAAGACTGAAAAAAAAATGGGGGTAGGATTAGTTTATTTCTATTCATTCATTCATGGGATGTAGATATCTATGGCAAGGCCAGCAATTGTTGTTAATGCCTGGTTGCCAAGTCAAGAGTGAACCCCATTGCTGTGTTTCTGAAGTTACGTGTGGACCAGGGTGATTAAGGAGAGCAGATTTCCTTCTCTTAGGAACATTAGTGAACTGGATGGGTTTCTATAACAATAGATGGTAGTTTCTAGCCATCACTTCCAAGACTAGCTTTCAATTCCAGGTATTTTAAAAACTTTGTTTGAGTATATTAATTGAATTTATGCTCCACCAGCTGCTTGTTAGGATTTTAACCCTTTGGCCTGGGGCATTAGCCTGAGTTTCTGCATTGTTAGACAGTGACATTACCACCATTACATTACCTCCCCATATAGCCTCCTTCTCCACTATAAGAGCCTATAAAAGTGCCAGAGATAGCAGGAATTGCCGATGCTGGAGAATCTGAGATAACAAGGTGTAGAGCTGGATGAACACAGCAGGCCAGGCGGCATCAGAGGAGCAGGAAGGCTGACGTTTTGGGTCTGGACCCTTCTTTTCTGAAGAAACATCAGCTTTCCTGCTCCTCTGATGCTGCCTGGCCTGCTGTGTTCATCCAGCTCTACACCTTCTTATCTATAAAAGTGCCAGATTGGATTATCAGCTGCTTACCGTTCTGCAGCCCAGTTCAGACAGGCACCTGGATACAACAAAGGATTTATTAAATTCAGAATAAATTCACCACACTCTCAAAGCAATTGGTTGAACCCATTGGAAGAATTAGTTAGGAGAGCATTTTAACTTCAAGAGTTTGGAGCATGATTCCTTCGTCCTTGTGCTAATTAGAAGATTCATACGGGAGGAGATTAATATAAATGTAAATCTAGTGCCAATTTCTTTGCTTCTTTCCAGCAATATTCTCAATGGGTCGGCAGTCTGTGTGTACAAGATGGCTGACATTATCATGGCCTTCAAAGGAGAATTTGCTCACAAAGAGGGCCCTGACTACAAGTGGGTGACGTATCCAGGACGTGTCCCCTTCCCTCGCCCTGGAACAGTGAGTAATATTAATAATCTCTGCGGCAGTGTGCACTCCCAGTGAGCAGTGTGCTCTGGGCTGTATCGTTGAAAATTTGTTGAAGAGCAGTTTCTAGGTCACAGTTAATTGGAGAAGACAGACAGAAGCAGAAGCAGGCTGCATGCAAAGACATCCAGTTCAGGAGGCAACTTAGTGCCATCGGCTCTGCACAATATGAATTTAGGAAGAAGTTCTAGGAGTCTAGTTTAGGGCAGCACGGTGGCTCAGTGGTTAGCACTACTGCCTCACAGCACCAGGGACCCGGGTTCAATCCCAATCTCAGGTGACTGTCTGTGTGGAGTTTGCACATTCTCCCTATGTCTGCGTGGGTTTCCTCCCACAGTTCAAAGATGCGTGGTAGACTAACTAGCAAAATTAGGTCACACAGGATTCAGGGTCAGCTTGCCAATTAGATATATAATTGGCTTAATGACAGGAGACAGAGTAATAGTGGAGGGTTGCTTTTTGGACTGGAGGCCTGTGACCAGCAGTGTTTCACAGGGATCAGTTCTGTGTCCTCTTTTGTTTGTCATTTATTTAAATAATTTGGATGAGAATATAGAAGGCATGGTCAGTAAGTTTGCAGATGACACCAAAATTGGTGGCATAGTAGACAGTGCAGAAGGTTTTCTAAGATGACAAAGGGATCTTGATCAAATGGGCCAATGGGCTGAAAAATTGCAGATGGAGTTCAATCTGGATATATGCAAGGTATTGCATTTTGGTACAACAAACAAGGGTAGGCTTATACAGTTAATGGTAGGGCCTTGGGTAGAACAGAGGAACGAGGGGTGCAGGTACATAATTCTTTGAAGTTTCGTTACATTTTGACAGGGTAGTTAAAAAGGCATTTGGCATGCTTGCCTTCATTGCTCAGCCCTTTGAGTGTAAGATTTGGGAAGTCACGTTAAGGTTGTACAGGGCATTGGTGAGGCCTCTTCTAGAATACTGTGTCCTGTTCTGGTTACCCAGTTATAGGAAGGATATTATCAAGCTGGAGAGGGTTCAGAAGAGATTTACCAGAATGTTGCCAGGTATAGAAGGTTTGAGTTATAAAGAAAGGCTGGATAGACTGAGACTTTTTTCACTGGAGTGTTGGAGATTGAGAGGCGACCTGACAGAAGTTTATAAAATAATGAAGGGTAGTTGTCTTTTCTCTAGGATGGAGGATTTCAAGACGAGGGGACACATTTTTAATGTGAGAAGAGACAGATTTAAAGAAGGCATAAGAGGCAATTTTTTTACACAGAGGGTGTTTTGTGTGTGGAATGAACTTCCTGAGGAAGTGGTGGATATGGGTACAATTACAACGTTTAAAAGACATTTGGATAAGTACATGAACAGGAAAGGTTTAGGACATGGGCCAGGAGCAGACAGATGGGACTAGTTTAATTTAGAATTATGTTGGGCATGGACTGGCTGGACTGAACAGTCTGTTTCTGTGCTGTATGACTCTATTACTCTATGACTGTATGTGCAGGTTAGATGGATTGGCTATGCTAAACTGCCCATGGTGTCCAGGGATGTGCAGGCTGGGTGGGTTAGCCATGGGAACTGCAGGGTTACAGGGAGAGGGTGGGATGCTGTCTGGAGGTTTGAAGGGCTGAATGGCCTGCTTCTACACCGCAAGGATTCTATGAGTCAGTAGATCTCGTTAATTTGAAACTGAAATTCTTTTTGTTGTCTGGTGTGTCAGTCTGGGAAAATTCCCTACATGGCCTTAACATAAGCTTGCAGGTCATCAAGCCATGTCATGTGTTCTTAGTGTGAAGGCACATCTGTGGCCTGCTCGTTCTTCATCTGAGCTATCTTCTTGACAGTTTTTGGCATTGGTAACTTGTGTTGCTCAGGGTGGGAGCCAAGTCCCAAATTCACCTCACTGCAAGCAGGAAAATTAGCGCCCACCATTGAACCTACATGCTCGACATCTAGCCAAATGAGCTAACTAACTCATTAACCATGTACCTGAAAAATGGTAAAAGAGGACAAAATGTGTGGGAGAATTTTAAAAAAAAGGCATCAAATCCAATCCATTTGCAGTTCTCATGCAATTTGTCCCATCGATTGGGGAAGAAATGCAGAAAGAAGTAGGGATAGTCTGGCAACAACATTAATGTCTCCATTAGCAATGCTAATCATGAGTCTCGCCCACCCAGCACTGGCCTCCTTCCCAGAGTGCTATCTCTCAGATTGGAAATTACAATGGCTGATTGAGTCAATGTAGAAGATCTCATGGAGTTACTCGAAGACAAACAGGAAACTCCCTTTGCGGTTCTGGCCAACATTCACCCTTGAGCCCACACATTGAAAGTAGATTAACTGGCCACTTATTACATTTGTTATTTTTCCTGTTGTTCAGAAATTGGCTGGCACATTTGCCCGCAAGAGTGATGACACTTTAATAACTGTAATAAATTACTGAAGACATTAACAGGAACGGATTTTGATTTCAACAGCTGGAAACCCATTTGAAAAAAAATAGAATAAACCCTGGCACATTTAAGCATTATGAGGGACTCTTCATGAGAACTGGACAATTCTTTATTCTTAAAAGCCCTGATCCATGAGATAATCCTGTTTCAAACATAAATGCTTTGACAAATCAATTGTACACCAATCAGAATTAATAATGTCAAGTTATGAACAAAATATTCATCAGGCCATCTGGACAAATTGCTCAGAGTTAACAATAATTTAAGGTAATGTGGTCTGCTGTTGATCACACCTCACATTTTCACAGCAAACCAGTTTCAGAGCTTTCCCTATCATTTATTTGATACCATCTTCCAGAAATCTCTCAATCGTTGGTGACCATTGTATGAAAGCCTGGAACTGCAAAGCCTTATCTGTCATAATCTTATACTTTCACTTGTTATTTGCTTGCAGTGTCCCAGCAGCACCTATGGGAGCTTTAAGTCAACTCGTGAATATCCAGATGAAGCAATCTTCTTCATTCGGACTCATCCACTCATGCGTGACTCTGTCTACCCTGTGAGCGAGCAGCCAGTGCTAATGCAAGTTGGTGTGGACTACAAATTTACCCGGATTGCCGTGGATCGGGTTGAGGCTGTAGATGGACAATATGACGTGATGTTTATTGGAACAGGTACATAGCCAATAATAACCTTTCTAAACTACATCTCCCAAAACAAATTAACTGCTCATAACAACTTGACAATGGGGTATTGCATTTAAGTTAAATTACAGGTGTTTCTCCTATAACACGATAGTTGTTTTCTGTGTGACCTTGCACTATAGAAAATCGCTTAATAGGGAAATCACTATACCTTTACAGCAGAAAGATCACGTTATCCAAACACTGTCCACTATTCATCAATCGCATTACAGCCAATTCGTGTTAACAAAACATGCGTTATAATAGAAATACCTGTGTCACCTTAATGATTAATCAGTTGCACATAAAGGACTATTTAGGGGTTGCCTTATCTCCCCACAGCAAAACAACTCACGTTGCAATCTTCTGAAATATTTTACACAAGCCTTACAGCATGTGCAAGATGTAAACCTCTCAAGAAGGCAGAATGGTTGCCAAATATACCCATGTGCTTTGTAGGCTTCACACACTCAGGTGACTGTGTGGAGTTTGCACATTTCTCCCTGTGTCTGCGTGGGTTTCCTCCCACAGTCCAAAGATGTGCAGGTTAGGTGGATTGGCCATGCTAAATTGCCCGTAGTGTCTAGAGATATGCAGACTAGGTGGGTTAGCCATGGGAAATTCAGGGTTAGAGAAAGGGTAGGGGGTGAGTTTGGGTTATCGTTCTTTGGAGCGTTAGTGTGGACTTGATGGGCCAAATGGCCTGTTTCCATACTGTAGGGATTCAAAGATTCTATGACTGGATTGGCTTCCTCTGGTAAATGTATGAGCTCTAGATATGGGCATCTCCAGTGCAAACTGGCAGAAGGTCACCGTAAACATGTCATAAATTGCTGGTCGTGTGAAGTGTAAATATTTTTTAACAAACCAGTTCAGATGTGTTTGACACAACTCTGAAGTAGGTGGGACTTCAATCCAAGCTTTCTGGCCCAGCTGTAGAGACACTACCATTGCCACCACTAGAGATCCTCACTGCAGTGTACTCCTACCAATATCAGGCTAATAAATACCTCCCTACCTATCAGACAGAAGTAGAGAAAGAAATGTAGGGAAAAAAACACATTAGGTTCACCACTACCCCTGTTTTCTGTACCAAAGTTTTCCATAGGTTATAATGCTAATGCCTGGGTGACAGAAATAGTAGGTAGAAAAGCTGTGGCCAATTTCAGGAAAACCAGGGAGAACCCTTCCTGATATTTTGAAGCAGTCAAGTAATGTATCGGTCCTGTTTTTCCTTCATCCATCCTCTCCTGTCTTCCTCATTGTCGCTGTCTTCCTTGCGTGAGCCTGACTCACAACCTTCTTGCCAGCGGAATTAGTTCAATTGCTCTTCAGGTAGATGTGTTGTCATTGCCATATTTCTTGGGCACATATAACCCACTAGATCCCACTCCACTATTCAGGGGCCAGAGCTCTGGCTTCCTGAACACCAGAGCAATCTGTCCATTCCTCAAGCTTTCCATGCATTGGATTCTACTCCAGAAATTGTATTTTTGTGCTTTGCTATAGATAGTTCCCTTGCAGTCAGCAGATGTGGAAACTCACACTCAATCCACCTGGGTAGAACCTAAAAGATCAGTGAGATAAACTTTTGTATCACCAGGTAATAAATGAATTTGTTGTACACAGCAATCAATGTCATGAAATATTACCTACAATCCCTGTTGATTGGTGCTCTGTAGTGTTGGAGCTCATTGCTAGTGAATGCAGAAATGAGTTGGAATCTTTGGTTCTATAGTTTTACCTCAGAATGTGGAGCCTGTCTCATGTTCTCAGACCAGCCAGAGCTTTAGGAATAATTATATGTTTTTCAAAGAAAAATCAACCTTAAGTTTTATTTTGCTAGTGTTGTTTGCAGTTAGCAATAAAGTAATTCAGCTTTCCACCTCCTGGCATATTTAAGCAAGAACTGTTTAATCTGTTCAAACAAGGGTTGTGTGCTTGTTTTGGATATTGATGAAAGCAGAGAGAGTAAAGGGCCTAGCCAGATATTATAGGTTGGAATGTCTGCTCCTCCCTTACTGATTATACTGGGACACTGAATCTCTGGTGCGTGCAGGCCACACTCTCTATAACAACGGCTGAACGTTCTATTCTATTTCATTACAGATACTGGGGTGGTCCTGAAATCAATCTATGCTCCCAAAGCAAACCAGGAGGTGGAAGAGATCATTTTAGAGGAGTTGGAAGTATTCCCGGTAAGTGGGAATAGTTACAGAGGTAACTGAATGAAACTCATTCCACGGCTTCCTGAAGCGACCCAACCATTCCCTTCCATTCATGCTTTAGCCTTGATCGAGCTGCAACTGAGTACAGCAGAGCGCCTGAGATGGGAGTGGTCAAAATTGCAAACAGATCAACGGTAATGGTGCTGCAGTTGGGGGGATAATGGTCCCCAACAGCAGCACAAAGTAGTTTCATGTTACGATGTTTTCAAATTCAATTTGTGAGGTTTAAGAAGAACTAGGCATGAAGGGGAAGGGCAGGGAGACAGCTAGACGTAGTGAGGGAGTGTGAGGGGTAACAGGGATGGAGTGAGGGACTGTGCAGAAAGACAGGGACAGAGCAAGGGAGTGTGCGGGGAGACGTGGATGGAGTGATGGAGTGTGTGGGAAACGCAGACATGAAGAGGAGAATAAAGGAAGAAGACAGTAGGGAACAGCAGCTGTACAGTGTTTCAAGCCTATTCTACCATTGTATCAGATCAGGTAAAAGAACAGCCATGAACCTTACTTTCCCAACCCATTCCTATATTTCTCAATTCTATTAATCACAGTCTGAAACGCCTTCAACAGCATAGCAATCATAGGCATCAGGGTAGAGAATGCCAAAGATTCGAAATCCCGAGAGAAGAAAGCTTTTTTAATCTGAGACTAAACAGGTCGAACCTTTATAGTGAGATTAGGATCCCTGATTCTAGGCTTTCCGGTGGAGAAGGGAGACTTGTATGAACTCATATATCTTATTCTGCCTAATTCCAAAAAGTGCTCCATGAAATTTCTCTTCATGGCATAATCCTGCCATCTCAGGAATTTATCTAATGAGCCTCTGAGACAAGCATATCCCCTCCTTAATTACAGAGGTTATACTGACTAAGATATTCCAGGTATGTTTAAAGTTTTTGAGATGTGTAACTTGGGTTGTGGATGAGGCTGTAGGTATGCTCGCCGAGTCGGTATGTTTGGTTACAGACATTTTGTCACCCTGCTGGGTAACACCATCAATTTGCCTCCTGATGAAGCGTTGGTGTTCTGTCCCACTTGTTATTTATATGCATATGCCTCAGTTTGCTGGGGTGGTTGCACAATTCGCCATTACCTCCGTGACAGACCACAACAAGAAGACACAACACGGCCAGACACACTAGTCACCCTACCGTACAAGAGGGGCTTATCAGAGATGACCACAAGACTACTCAGACCCCTAGGTATCAGAGTAGCCCACGAACCAACAACCACCCTGTGATAGCTACTGATGAACATAGAGGATCCCATACCCACAGCCAATAAAACTAATGTAATATAGAAAATACCATGCAAGGACTGTGAGAAACATTACCTAGGCCAAGCTGGAAGGATAAGGATACACAAACACCAACTAACCACCACAAGACACGACCAGTTCTCACTGGTCTCAATGCACATGGTCATAGAAGGAGACAAATTTGACTGGGACAACACATCCATAATTGGACAAGCCAAGCAGAGGCATGCCAGGGACTTTCTGGAAGCCTGGCATTCCAACCAGAACTCCATCAACAAACACATTGAACTGGACCTGATATATAAACCACTGAAAAACAGAACCAGAAGTGATGCCAATCACCCCAGCAAACCAAGGCGTATAAATAACAAGTGGGACAGAACACCAACACTTCAACAGAGGCGCACTGATGATGTTACCTAGCAGGGTAACAAAACGTCTGCAATCAAACACACCAGCTCGGCGAGCAAGTCTACAACCTATTCCAGGTACGGCCTCACCATAGACCTGTATTATCACAGCAAGACTTCTTTACTCATGTCCCAGCCCCTCATGAAACAGAATAACAGACCAAAGAAGGAATTTTGTTCTTGAAACATTAACTCTGTTTCTCTCTCCACAGCGGCTGCCAGACATGCTGCCAGACATAGTTCACATCTACCCGTGATATACTCTGTTTTGCCACTTCCTTGCCCAATTGCTCAACCTGTCGATCTTCCTTTGCAGATTTTTTGCCCCTCAAATCCTCATGCCCCATGAGGAGGCTTGAACTGGGTCAGGGCTGTATTAAGTCCAGTTGTGGTGGAAAGGCTATGAGAAAATATGCAGGAGATTTGGAGATCAAGTGCAGCCAGTGTGAGAGATACTGCACAGAATCCTCTGACCTCAGAGAAGACTGTCTTGAAGACACTTAATTAGATAGGGCAGTGGTGAACACAAGCCCCACTGCTTCCTACCTCCACTAGAATTAAATTCTGAGTGAGAAGGCCCATGGTCACCCTTCCTGTCCCAATGCCAATTCAAGTCCTGAAGTGGTCAATTAAGGACCACCGCTAGGATTGACCTGACTGCAAGAGGCGTCCCTCACTCAAAGGCTCACATTGCCTCAACAAGGGACTGAATGTCGTTTCCAATGCCCTACTTCCCCTCTCCTCAAGTCTCCCGACATGAGAAATTACTTCCCCTAACTCCCAAACAAACCGCTTTGCTTAATCCTCACAGAATTCTGGGAGCGCACTTTCAGGCCAGCTGCTATCTTTGAACGGGACTTGTGCCCCGGTGTCTCAATTCCGAGCAAAGTCCCATCGGGCGTCTCACCAGTGCCCGCTTGGAATATGATTGCAGTGGGCCTTCCCTGGAAGAGGTAGCGGGGGTGGCGGGGGGGAGGTGCCTTGGCCAGCTCTCCAGTGGACAAGATCCCTGCCACACCTGCCCCCGACATGGTCCCACTGCTGAGGCCGAGAAATGAAAGGGTCCAATCACAGTCAAACAGAGCCATCTGATTTAAATTGGCAGAAAGCTTAGAAAAACTGTGAAATGGAAACAGAAGAGATGGAGCCAACACTCAGTGGAGTTAGAGGACTGATGGGAATGAAATTCAGGTTAATTCGTCTGAGGAACAAAGGGATCTCAGTTCAGGGAGAGACCAGTGCAAAGAAACTGTATATTTAGGCAACCTAGTAATGTTCCTGATGTGTGCATGATCCTAATAAAGATATTTTTTGGCAAATCACTTGCACGTTTATGTGGTTTCAGTCAGGCAAGTCATGTTAGTGTGCTTGCCGTGGGTTTCTGTACCCCAGGGACCTGTCTGGCATGAGATATATCGAAAAATCCAAACTAAGGCCTGCTGTGCTAAAACCTACATGAATGCCGGCTGCTGAATTTCTATTGCCAGGAGATTAGACAGAATACCGGCTCTTATTGAGAGCCTTTTATGGTACTACATCTCTTTTGAAATGTATTTCCGCCCGCTGTGTGAGCCTGCTCCTGTGGCGTTGCTTAACCAATCAGACCCTTGACCATCTGATTGAAGCAAAGCCCAGACAACAGAGAAGGAAAATTTACTTTTTGTTCTCTCTCCTAGCCCAACTACAATAAAGGGCCATGTCTGGACACTTAATGTGGTGGTGGGTGGGGGGTGGGTGCTCAGATCAGAACAGAACAGATCAGAAAGGACCCTTTGCATTAACCATTTGATGTAGACTCCACTCTTCAGGGGTTTCAGGAGTAAGGAGGCCGACCCATTATTCTCTATCTAAAGAAAGACCTGAGGGCACAAAACAAGCTCACACAGTGATGTTCTCTACCATAGGGAAAAGATATGTTACTAGTTCACAGATTGGACCAGCATTTGTTATCATCATCATAGAATCCCTATAGTGTGGGAACAGACCATTCAGCCCATTGAGTCCACACTGACCCCCTGAAGTGCATCCCACAACCACCAACCCCCCCTGCCCTTACCTCAGCTAATCCACCCAGGCTACATACTGCGGGTAATTTAGCATGGCCCATCCTCCTAACCTGCACATCTTTAGACTGTGGGAGGAAACCAGAGTACCCAGAGGGTATCCACACAGACACAAGGAGAACGTGCAAACTCCACATAGATAGTTACCCGAGGATGGAATTGAACCCACATCCCTGGCGCTATGAGGCAGCAGTGCTGACCATAAGCCACTGTTCCACCCCAATGTTGTCATTTCTCATGAGTGGTTTTCTAAGACACTTCAGAAGGATAGTAGGTAACGCACTAATATTACATGCAGGACAGCCTTGTTAAAGACAGCAGGTTTTCTTTCCCTGAAGGACATATTCAAATTGCCTTGTTCACTGCTGCTTCTGAGCCTTAAACAAAAATGACAGAATACAGTTTCAACTCTGAACATCATGAATAGTGCGCCACCCTCTTACTGTGATTTAATTTCTCTTCAGGACAAATCACCCATCACTTCACTGAACCTGTCAAGAAAGCGGGTAAGCAAACACATTCTGGATATTTGATCGCTATTTGTGATAAGCCGTAATTAAATTGTCGCATTGAATTCAAGATCGCAACATCCTGAGTGACAGACTATGAACATTTTTTCCGGGAAGTAATAGACTGGAGAGTACTTCTCATTGCTGACAGAGTCCAAAAGTTCACATTTAATTGTGTAACTTCTAAAATCAGCAACTTATTAACTGCATCCAATTATGAGAAAGATTGACAGGATTTCACAACGCCCAGCTGTACAGCACAAGCATCAACACTTCTTGGAGGAAAAAAAAATATCCTGGCCCATGCCAGACTTGTTTTTCTCAATCGTGTGTTCAGGCTGTATTTTGGTAGCTTAGCACCTGGGCAAATGACCTCATACTCTACCACACCACTCTGAGGGGGGAGTCCGTGCCCTGAGTAATATGTGCTTCCAGTTAAAAGGAGCAGAAATTAAACAGTAGCTCTTTTTTCACTGAACTGGTGAGGCAGCGAGGTGAACTGTGCTGGAAGTGCCTGAGGTACCAGGTGTGACCCAATCTGGGGACAGTGGCACTGGGGTAGTACACCCATCCTACAGGTATCCCAAGGCAAGCTCGGGGAGGACAGAAGCTCTTCTGTGGAGCAGAAGGGCAAAAGCTCGCATGATTTTGATTTTCAGTGCGAGTGCAGACCATGAAAGTGGGGCCTCTCAATCCTTCTGGCCTTTTGAGTTTGAAGCAGGAGGTGACAGAAAAGTTGCCGCGGGGATAACTGGTGTCTGACGGTCAAGCATTTACAGCAATGTTGCTTTCTGATCCCTTCATGCCCCCTCTTCGGAGGAGAAAACTGGGAGTGCCATCTACACTTTGCATATTAAAACTGATAGGCTGAATATTGGGAGGGATTTCCAGATACCAAAACATCTTTTCAGGATTCAGAACCCATATATCACATACAACTCTCACTAACATTAGCGAGCAGCTATTGAGTCTGTGAGTGTCTCTATCTCTGTGTCTCTCAGAGGATTATACCAGAGAACTTGAATTCCTACAGAGTCCTGGGAATCTCAGTGGAAGACCCTGGGCACTTGTGATACCTGCACACTCCCGTATGTAGTTGGTATCTCAATGGAATACCCTAGGCACACTGTCCTGTGCCATTCTGCCCACTGACTTTAGCACACTGATCTTTCTTGCTCAACGTCCACGCCACTTTCTCGATGTCAGAGCAAGCCCTAGAGCCAGACTGGTGTACAAAATTCAGACTGACGCTTCATTAAGCGAGTGTTGCACCGCCACAGCCCTTTCAGATAAGACAATAAACTCGAGACCCTGTCTACACTCTCAGTTGGATGTAAAAGGTCCCAACATCACTGTTTGGAGGAGGAGCAGGAAAGTTCTCCATAAGCCCCTGTCCTAAAGTAAGTTGTCACATTCTGGCGGGCGCTCTGTGAAGGTGAAATGGGTTCAACAGTAACTTTTTCAGACGTATGAGAAAGATAAACGCCATCAGGACAATGGGGAAAGAAGGGGGAGTGAATGGGACTGAATTACCGGCTCTTTCAAAGAGCTGGCACAAGCAGAATGGGCCTAATAGGCTCTTGCTGCGCTGTGACCTGAGCTTAAAGGAAATTATTTGATGACTATGGTTTTCATTTGCAGCAGTGGTTGTACTTGGGCTCAAAGACTGGCTTGGCCCAGGTCTCCTTGTACCAGTGTGATTTGTACGGTAAGGGCTGTGCGGAATGCTGCTTGGCAAGGGACCCTTACTGCACATGGAACGGAAGCTCTTGCAGCACCTACCTACCCAGCAGTCGCAGGTCAGTCAGTTGCTACAGTAATTGCTTTGCATGGAGTAATGTTTTGTCAGCTTGTCATCTTGTCAGCGTATCAACGTGTACGCACCATAACTGCCTGGACGTACAAAAACCCTGACCTTGGCCTGTCTGTCACAGGCCAGGTATCGCACGCAGGATATTGCAAAATATTTTTCAAAATTAATGACACCCCCATCTCCTGCTGCTTTTTCTCACCTTAACCAGCTCACCCAGACACGAGGAATTCACGACTAGCTGCTGGCTACGGTCGTAGAGGTATACAGCATGGAAACAGACCCTTTGATCCAGCTCGTCCATGTCGGACAGGGTTTCTGAACTGAACTAGTCCCATTTGCCTGCGTTCGGCCACATCTGGAGTATTGTGTCCAGTTTTGGTCGCCTCATTACAGGAAAGATGTGGAAGCATTGGTAAAGGTGCAGAGCAGATTTACCAGGATGTGGCCTGGAATGGAGGGAAGGTCTTACGAGGAAAGGTTGAGAGAGCTAGGGCTTCTCTCTTTTGAATGACAAAGGATGAGAGGTGACTTGATAGAGGTGTACAGAATGACCAGAGATATAGAGTGGACAGCCAGAGACTTTTTCCTAGGGTGGAGGTAGCTATTACGAGGGGGCATAGTTTTAAAGTGAGTGGAGGTAGATATAGGGGAGATGTCAGAGGTAGGTTCTTTACTCAGAGAGTGGTAGGGGCGTGGAATGCACTGCCAGAGAGGGTAGTGGAGTCAGCCTCATTAAGGGCATTTAAGTGGCTATTAGATAGGCATATGGATGAGAGTATAAGGTAGGGGTGGAGGTTAGATAGACCTTGGGTTTAGGGTAAAAGTTCGGCACAACATTGTGGGCCGAAGGGCCTGTACTGTGCTGTATTGTTCTATGTTCTATATCCCTCTAAACCTTTCCTAACATCCCACCTGTTCAAATGTATTTTAGGTAAGCATTGTTTACTTGGACTTTGGTAAAGCCTTTCACAAGGTTCCGCATGGTAGACTAATTAGTAAAGTTAGATCGCGTGGGATTCAGGGTGAGCTTGCCAATTGGATACAAAGTTGGCTTAGCGGCAGGAGACCGAAGGTGGTGGTGGAGGGTTGATTTTTGGACAGGAGGCCTGTGACCAGCGGTGATCCACAGGGATTGGCACTGGGTCCACCTGTGTTTGTCATTTACATAAATTATTTGGATGAGAACGTTGAACGTATGGTTAGCAAGTTTGCAGATGATACCAAAGTTGGTGGTATAGTGGACAGTGAAGAAGGTTATCTAAGATTAGAAAAGGATCTTGATCAACTGGGTCAATGGGTTGAGGAGTTTAATTTGAATAAATGTGAGGCATTGCATTTTGGTAGTGCAAACAAGGGCAGGACTTATACAATTAATGGTAGAGTCCTGGATCGTGTCGTGGAACAGAGAGGTTCAGGTACATAATTCTTTGAAATTTACATCACAGGTAGACAGGGTGGTTAAGAAAGCGTTTAGCACACTTGCCTTCATTGATCAAACCTTTGAGTATAGGAGTCAGGACATCATTTTGAGGTTGTACCGGATTTTGGTGAGGTCTCTTCTGGAGGACTGTGTCACCCTGTTATAGGAAGGATATTATTAAACTGGAAAGGATTCAGAAAAGATTTACCAGGATGTTGCTGGGAATGGAGGGTGTAAGTTTTAAAAGTAGACTGGAAAGGCTGGGACTTTATTCACTGAAGCTTAGGAGGTTGAGGAGTGACCTTCTTGAGGTTTATAAAATCATGAGGGGTATAGACAAGGTGAATGGCAGGTGTCTTTTCCTTAGGGTGACGGAGTTCAAGACTAGGGAGCATATTTTTAAGGTCAGAGGAGACAGATTTTAAAAGGACATGAGGGGCAACTTTTTATACAGAGAGTGGTTCATATGTAGAATGAAGTGCCAGAGGAAGTGATGGTACAGTTACAACATTTAAAAGATGTTTGGATAAGTTCATGAATAGAAAAGATTTGGAGGGATACAGGCCAGGAACGGGCAAGTGGGACTAGTTTATCTTGGGAATATGGACTGGTTGGACCAAAGAGTCTATTTCTGTGCTGTATGACTCTATAAATGTTGTCGTTTTACCCATCTTTACCACTTTCTCTGGCAGCTCGTTCCATTCATGCACCATCCTCTGTGAGAAAAAGTTGCCCGTCAGGTACCTTTTAAATCTTTTCCTTCTCACCTTAAACCTATGCCCTGCAGTTTTGAACACCCCTACTGTGGGAAAAAGACCTTTCCTATTCTTATCTATGCCCCTCATGATTTTATAAACCTCTGTAAGGTCACTCCTCCGCCTCCTATGCTCCAGGGACATAACTAAAATCCTCCAGTCTCACTAACATCCTTGTAAACCTTTTTTACACCCATTCAAGTTTAATAACATCCTTCCAATAGCAGGATGACCAGAATTGTACACAATACTCCAAGTGTGGCCTTACCAATGCCTGAAAAGCCCACTGCATTTAGCCTCAGATTGTGCCCGTGTGCACCATCTTCCCTCTCCACCTTCCAGAACTTGACTCAGGGGGAGGTCAAATCAAATACAGTTTCATCTTAGCATTTCAACATCACTTTGCTTCCAATTTACCGCTGACCACCCTTGAGTAAGTACTGCAGTGTATTGCTGAGCATTGCTAAGATTGAACACTTGTCTGTGGATTACCAGGGTAATAGGGTTTGCATTCACCAATCAAGAGATATGGCAAAAGAAATGAGGAGCATTTTATGTGCCAGCATGCATTTCTTTGAGAGAACACGGAGACTCAGTTGTAGAATTTCTCAGCTCCCAGTAATGTGCCTCAACCCAAATTTCAGCAATGCACTGATGTAGTATTTGCATTTTGCATGGCAGTCATTCTGAATGAACAGGCCAGTTGGTCCAGACTAGGGGTGCTGCACTAGTGGCACACACCTATTTGGAACTGGGTGAAACAACTCCACAGCTACTACAGAGAGGAGCCATTACATTGAACGGGACAGCACAGAAACAGGCCTGGGGCTGGTTAATGCTGGTCTTCATTCTGCACATTTTATCTACCCTTCCCATACCCCTTCATCTTACCCTTTCATCATAACCTTCCATTCATTCTTCCCTCATGTACATCATCTTAAATGCTTCCATGTTATTGGCTCACTACTCCACATGGTGCTAATTTCTACATCCAATTATGCTGTATGAATAAAGAGGTTTGTTCCAAATTCCCTATTGGATTTAGTATTCTGTCAGCCTTGGGGAATGTTTGATCCCAGAAATGAAATAGGTTTAGCTAACCTATTTCCTCATCCTCCACCAACATGTTGTCACTTCCCAGAACTCCACAGTTGAATCCCTCCAATAAAAGTTTTGCTGAAATGGCTCTTGTCAAAGTCACAAAACACAATGTAGTTGGTGGCAAAGGCAAATTAACCCTCCTCATTCTTCTTGACCTGTCTGCAGCCTCTAACACAATTGATCAAACCATCCCCTCTATAACTTTGCCTGATTCTGTCCTTGCCTCAACAATTTTGCTGCTGAAACCCTCAGCCATGCCTTTTGTTACCCCCAGACTTGACCATTCTAATGCACTCCCGACTGGCCCCTCACATTCTACTTAGCAAAACCTCTGACTTGCGCCAAATTCTGTTAGCATATCGACAATGCTTGTTAACCTGCACTGTCTCTCACTTAAGCAATGTCTCAGTTTTAAAATTCTCATCCTCATTTTCAAATCCCTCCATGGTTTTGTCCCTCCCTGTCTCTAATCTACTCCACTCCCACAACCCTGCACTTCTAATTCTGGCCTCTTCATCATCTCCAATTTAATCATGCCAACGCTGTTGGCTGTGTATTCTTCTGCCAGGAGGTGGTGCGCTCTGAAATACGCTCACTAAATCTCTTCACCTTGTAACCTCCCTTCCCTCCTTTAAAATGCTGCTTTAAAACCTTCCTGTTTGGTCTTTATCATCAGGAAACATCAAAGAATTAACACTCAGGCAGGCTCCTAGTTCACCAAATAATCTTGACAGAATCACAGAGTCGTACAGCATGGAAGCAGACCCTTCGGTCCAATCAGTTCATGTGAACGTTATCCCAAAATAAAATAGTCCCAAAATAAAATAGTCCCACCTGCCTGCTCCTCACCCATATCCCTTCAAAACTCTCCTATTCATGTTCTTATCTAAGTATCTTTTAAACGTTGTCACTGTGCCCGCATCCACCACTTCCTCAGAAAGCTCATTCCACACGCGAATGTATAAAAATTCGCCCCTCGTGTATTTTTTAAATCTGTCTCCTCTCACCTTAAAAATATGCCCCCTAGTTTTGAAATCCCCTATCCTAGGGAAAAGACACCTACCATAAACTCTATCTATACTCCTCATGATTTTATAACTCTCTCTAGGATCACCTCTCAACCTGCTATGCACTAGTGAAAGAAGTGCCAGCCTATCCAGCCTCTCCTTATAACTCAAACCCTCTATACTCAGCAACATCCCGGTAAATCTCTTCTGAGCCCTACAAGGTATTAAAATGGCACACCTTTTCTTAAGCATCGGAATGAGAGACATTGCAAGTTTTACGCAAGTGTCGTTTAACTGGTGTTAAATATTCATGATTCTGTCACTGGATTTGTAACATGGTTACTACTCAAAATGTGGACTAGCATCTTCAGAATTACGTGAATATATCAATTGTTTTGTACATCAGTTACACGCTTTGAATAATCACAGTGTAGAGTAATCATTAGCCCTTTAACACAGGCATCCCCTTATTTTTTTGGTACCTAATTATGTGCTCCAAACTATGTATATTCCTGCACGTGAACTATTGTTATACTGGTATAGTAATGCAATGTGTTAGCTGCTGATACCTGGCATGGCTCCAGTTACCAGCTTTAATAAAAAAAAAAGAAACAGCCACTGAACTCCAGGAGAAATAGTACTCCCTGGAAAAAAATAAGGTTCAAAATCCTCCAGTAATACGTGCTCAGTTTTCATATTTTCTATGAAATTTCATATTGAGTATTTCATATTTAAAGCACTTAAACTCCTCAATTAAATCCTGGTCTATCACTCATTTCTAGTATCCAATTCTCTATAAATAATCCACACTAACCCCTCATTTAAATCCCTGCTTGTAGCTCACTGGTGGTCATTCATTGAAATAATAAGTATATATACTTTGTAAACACCTCAAAGTCTTGGATTAGTTTCCAGTTTATAAATCTCCTGGGGATCCATTTTATATATAAACATCCAACACGCCCTCCCTTATTAAATGCAATTATTACCCTCTAATTTCACCACATAATGAGACTATCTGTGAGGTAACCACTTTGGATTGGGCAGCTTTCAAAACCTTCCTGAGGCAACAGATTTGGCCATTGACACAAGGCATCTGAACTCTTAGCTGTTGGATACAATTCAAATAAACCACAGGATAAAAGAGAGTGCTTTGGGCTGAGATCTCAATGGATTGCTGTTGAACCTGACCCCTTGCTGTTATGTTTGCTTGCAGAAGACACACTCGACAGGTCACTCTGAATGGAGATCCTTTGACCCAGTGCTTCAACCAGGGAGGTAAGTATCACAAATTCCTGAATGTAATCTTTGAAACCCCTGCGCTTCAGAAAAAGCCTGTCGAACTGTTTGACTTTAAATTAGAGTTGTGCAAAAGGCCTTTTTCTTTTGGCAAAAAATGGAATAATTTTCCAGTGTTGCTGCCCTCAAATACAGAAGACAAAAAGCGATCCAATCAACATAATCAGCCACGGAGAAGTGAAAGGGGGCCCATTTTATTTGGATATCCACAAGAGGCATTGCAGCAACTCTTCAAGGCTTCTTTGACATACCTCCCAAGCCTGTGACCTCCACCATATAGGAGGGCAAGAGCAGCAGGCTTATGGGAGCACCACTCCCTACAGGATCACCTCCAAGCCATGCACCATCCTGACTTGGAAATATATCACTGTTCCTCTCGGGTCATTGGATCAAAATCCTGGAATTCCCTACCTGACGGCACACCCCAAAGGTTGCAGAGGTTCAAACTCACCAGCACCTTCTGCAGGGCAATGAATGAGAAAAATTAAAGAGTAGTTTCAAGAATTTTCAAACTTAAAGGTAAAATGTTAACATGAAATGGAAAGAGATCTTGGAGAGGACAACCAGACTGTCTTGTGTGAGAGCATTTTATAAAAGCTTCCAAAATGGTCTAATTTATTGCATCTAATGTAATAGTAGGGAAAGATCGTACAGTAAAACTGCACAGATTTGGAAGTTAAATGACAGACTGTCCATTTGGAAAGTTGAGTTTGAAGGGGAAGGGGGGAATGATTAGGGATCAGGACCTGCTTCTGATTCAGAAATTTAAGAAGCTTTTCACACCTCTTGTGTGTACGCCAACCTATATAACCTCGTGAGCCAACCGTGCGTGAAGTTAAAAGCACTGGCAAAAGATGAAGGATAAAAAAATCACAAACCAGCTGTTTGCCATCTTAACATAGAACCAGCTTTTAAACCCTTCTAAACATTGCCCCAACATTTGCACCCAACCCCTCCTCCTCATTTACTCAAAGCTTGCTTGAGAGTTGAGCACCTAACTTGGTGTTCCGTACTTAAATGAGGTGGTCCTACAAAATCATCACAGTTGCTCATATCGCCCTTTGGGGCATGAACCATAGTGGATTATTTGACCTTGGAAGTCAGTAATACTTTGACCACCAGCCACTGGGCAATGATCAGGAGTAAGAACACTAATGAACGTTCTCCTTCCTTACTCAGTGATGCTGTTTTAAATCTCAAGCGTTGAGTGAACTGAACCAGAGTGGGCACACAGTTCAAAGTCGGGACTTCCTTTCAGGCTGGCTCGATAGAGTTGGGGGTGTGGGTTTGGGGTAGACAGCTTGGTGGTCACAGAGAAATGAGGATTTAAAATCAAAGCAAACTGAGATGTGAGAAAGAGGTTGGCAGAGTGACGAACGTGGAACGTGAAGGTCAGGCCGCCTTCAAATGTCGTTCAGGACCTTCTCTCTTCACAAGCCACAAATTCACCAAGTTTAATCATGGCTTGGATTTCAGAGAAATAATGATCAGAGAGTTTGCAAGATTAGTAAGCTGCTTTGCTAGAAAAATACTGCCAGCTGGCTGGCTCTATGGACTCTTGTATGGGTGTGAACACGTGCAGCTAAGAGAAATGGGACATCAATGTGCACTTTTGTCTTCCTTTGTCAGCACCAATTGCTCCAGGGTCAGGGACAAGATATGCTGGGTAAAATGCCTTGGATTAGTATCATTATACTCTCTTGGATCTGACACCATGTGAGGTGGAGCAGGCTAAAGATTATTTCACTGCCCTTTTAATATTGCGCCAAGTCTGGTAGAGATGCTAATAATCTTAGCGTGCATAACCTTACAAGAGCTGCCACATAATTCTGGCCAGCTTTGCAAGGTCACCAGATTCAAACCTTGGGGTTAGAGGTAAAAGGTCAGCACAGGCCACCCTGGAACCATACTAAAAAACAACATTACAATAAATCTACCAGCAATGGTGACATTAGCTGCCGTGCCTCAATTCCTTGCATTTACCTGAACAAGGTAACATTCTTGCTACAATGGGACAATCCTCTGTCTTCCAAACCAAGCATTAGTGCTTCAAGTTTTCCAAGTACTGAGTTATATTTGTAATAAGATTTATTCAGGTCAGCTCAAATTACGTGTACATAGGAGGTTTAGACCTGGCCTGAAAGAGGTGTTCAGACCCTTTAGTGAGTTGATTGTCCGCCCAGTGGGAGAATCTTGAATACAATCAATCATTTAGGAAGAAAGTCAGGAAGCAGTTCCTCACTTCCTCCAGTTCCTTGGCTTGGGATGTAAGATTACTAAGAGCTTCCACCAACACCAACTGATATGAATAAAACATAAAACATCCCAAAGCATTTTACAACAGTGTTATGAAGCACAATTGGACACTGAGCCAAATAGGATAATATTAAGCTGATGGTCAAAGAAGGACATTTTAAGGAGAGTCTGGAAGCAATAAAGTGAGGTAGGGAGAGATAGCCAGGTTATGTCAGAGAGTAGTGCACAGGAGTCACAGCTATCAACGCTGGATTCATTAAATTGGAGATGTTCAAGAGGCAAGAATGAGAGGAGTGCAGGTATCTGAGAGGGTTGTAGGGCTGCAGCAAATTAGAGATAGGGAGGAACCAGGTCAGGGAGGGATTTGAAAACCATGGTGAGAATTTTAAAATGGAAACATCGTTTAAAGGGGAGTCAGAGCAGTTTAACAAGTATGGATGATGGGTTAACACAATTTGGTGCATGTTAGGCCACAGGCACCAAAGCTTTGCAGAGTAGAATGTGAGGGGCCAGTTGGGAATGTGTTGGAATGGTCGGGTCCAGGGGTAACAACAAGCATGCATGAGGGTTCCAGCAGCGGAAATGTTGAGCCAAGGCCAGACTCGGGCAAACTTATAGAGGTGAAAGTAGATGGTCTTAGTGGTGGGGATGGTTTGATCAATTGTGTTAGATGTTGCAAACAGGTCAGGAAGGATGAGGAGGGTTAGATTGCCTTTGTCATCAACTACATTGTGTTTTGTGACTTTGATAAGAGCCATTCCAGCAAGAGTTTTATTGGAGGGATTCAACCACAGAGTGCTGGGAAAGATCGGCATGAGTTTGGGAGGTGACAACATGTCGGTGGAGGGAGTTTGACCTACCGGTGGGTAAGATGAGGGAAGTGACAGAGACAGTCAATCTGATGGCCTTACTCTTGGCATCACAGAAATCCATGAGTTCTCGCACCTTGTTAATGGAGGAGTCAGTGATGAGGAGTTTCATGAAATGACTAGCAGTACAGAAAGCTAACCAGAGATTATTTTACCATTGCAGAATCATCCTGCAGTGAATCGGTAGACCAGTTTTCCACCATATTCGTCTGTGTCTGAATTAATTGAACTTATGAGATGAGGTCCGAGCAGGGCAATAGCCAGGTTGAGAGTGAGAGAGACAGTAGTCAATTCATGGGGACCAGGAGCTTACAGGTAGAAATGAGATTGTGGTTAAGCAAATTGATTACTGAAGAAATGTTGTGACAGGACTGAAATAAGCAGTTTTTCTTTAGGTATGGACTTGTGAAGTAAAGAGAGGTAAATGAGATACAGATCATTTATTATCTACATGAATTGGGCAGCAAGTCAGATGGACTGAATGGCCTTCTCTCCTTCCTGTCACTAAGTTCTGATAATGTTAATGGTACATTGGAGCATTGCAGTAAAGTGCTTCAATTCATCCAACGGGCCTTGGATTTAAGATTTAAGCAGCTTTTCGAATCGATAGTGTAACTTTAGTGTGTTTGAGTTCATCTGACAGTTTTCTGGATTTGATCTTGAACTCATGGCCCCACCCTGACGTACTCAGCAATGAATGGAGAGTGGTACTCAGTCTGACCTGCTGGTCCAGTGCAAATCCCTCACTCCAGTTAGTGAGAGCTGCTTTGGACTGTACTCAGTGAAGCTTCGAATTCGATTCCCACACTGCAGTATCTGTCGTAAGCTGACAGACAACTGCTAAGGAGTTTGAGGTAAATATAAAATGAAGGTTACTTATCAACCCTTTTTAGACACAGCCATTCATCTCAATATAATTGCTGCAATGTCTAGACATTTGACTGAAAAGTACCCTCCGTAATTAGCAGTGGCCACATACGGTAGACTCATTTTGGCCGTCTTCCATCAGGTACAAATTTGGAAAATATGAGTAATTTTATTTTCGCTTCATTACTCCAGAAAGATTAATCCCATACCTGTCACGGTGAAGAGTAACCACTGAGGCTGGATTAACTGTGCCATAAAGGTGTTGTAATACAGTCAGTGGACCCACGTTTCCCCCTGTCACTACTCAACTTCCCAAATCTACGTGTTCACTGTAGGGGCCATGCATACCTGGGCTGAGGAGAAGGCGATGTTTGTGGTGGAGGGGAACAGCACGTACCTGGAATGCATTCCCAAATCACGGCTTGCCACTGTTAACTGGCTGGTGGAGTCAGGTGACCCGAATGGGCCGTTGCAAGAGGTAAGGATTTACTGTATGGTGGATTTTACCTCAAATAATAAACCGTGCTACGCACGCACATCTGGAACATTGCCAGTAAAACTGGAATGGTATCAAAGTATAATAATCCTTTTCATGGGGTACTCCTGTCTTTTCCCAACCCGCCTCAACTCCCAGTGAGACATCTCCTTCTAAAGAATAGCAAGAATGCCACAATTGTGTTGGGGGTGAGCAGGTGGCCAGGTGTCAGCTAGAATTGGGCTGAGAATCCTCACCGATGTTGGCAACCTAAGATTGGAAAGCTGGCACAGTGAGGTTTAGAGGACCACATTTTCCCCATGGATTGACCCCAGCCACCAACCTTTTACCTTGTGAATTGTTATGGCACAGAACGAGGCAATTGGCCCATAATGCCTGCACCAGTTCTATTCCCTGGTCATAGAGTCATACAGCATGGAAACAGACCCTTCAGTGCAACCAGTCCTTGCTGATAATAATCTCAAACTAAACTAATCCCGCCTGCCTATGCTGGGCCCATATCCCTCCAAACAGTTCTTATTCATGTACTTATCCGAATGTCTTTTATAATTTGTAACTGTGCCCACATCCACCACTTCCTCTGGAAGTTCATGCCACACACGAACCGCTCTGTGTAAGAAAGTTGCCCCTCCTGCCTTTTTTAAATCTTTCTCCACTCACCTTAAAAATATGCCCCTTGACTTTGAAATTCCCCCACACTAGGGAAAATGCCTGCCATTCACCTTATCCATACCCCTCATGATTTTATAAACCTCAGGGTTTATAAAATCAGACCTTGGGGGGCACCCCTCAATCTCCTACGCTCCAGTGAAGAAAGTCCCAGACTATCAAGCCTCTCATTATAACTCAAACCCTCCATACCTTGCAACGTCCTTGTAAATCTTTTTGGAACCATGTCCAGCTCAATAATATCCTTCCTATAACAAAGAAACTAGAACTGTGCATAGTATTCCAGAAGAGGCCTCACTAACATCCTGTACAACCCCAATGTGATGTCCCAACTCCTAAACTCAAAGGTCTGAGCAATGAAGGCAAGTGTGCTAAAGGCCTTCTTGACCACCCTGTCTACATGTGACACAAACTTCAAAGAATAATGTACCTGAACACCTAGGTCTTCGGTTCTAGAACACTACCCAAGGCCTGACTTTTAACTGTATAAGTTCTGCCCTTGTTTGTTTTACTAAAATGCGATGCCTTGCATTTATCCAAATTAAACTGCATCTGCCTCTCCTCAGCCCATTGACAGAGTTCATCAAGATCTCTCTCCTGCCTTTTCTCAATGCCATTGCATACCATTTTGATCCAGATAATCGTCCAATGCCCACTTGAATGCCTGTCAAACCTGCCTCTGTTGCATATCCAGGCACTGCGTTCCATACCCTAACTACTCACGATGTGAAAACAGTCTTTTTTCACAAATCACTCTTGCTTCGTTTACCAATCACTTCAAATTTATAAAATCATGAGAGGCACAGATAAGGTGAATAGCCACAGTCTTCTTCCCAATGTAGGGGAGTCCATAACTAGTGAGCATAGATTTAAGGTGAGAGGGGAAGATTTAAAAAGGACTGGAGGGACAACCTTTTCACACAGAGTGTGGTGTGTATATGGAATGAGCCACCAGAGGAAGTGGTAGAGGCTGGTACAATTACAACATTTAAAAGACATTTGGTCAGGTACATGAAGAGGAAAGGTTTAGCGGACAAATAGGACTTGTTAAGTTTGGGTCATCTTGTCAGCATGAGCTAGTTGGACTGAAGGGTCTTTTACTGTGCCATATGACTCTATGACTCTATAAATCTATGCCCGGTCTTGTTCTTCGTCCTTTTATGAGTGGGAACAGCTACTTCCCAAGATTTTGAAAACCTCGATCAAATATCTTCTCAACCTTCTTCAGTCCAAGGAAAACAGCCCCAACTTTGCACATCCTCAGTCGTTTGAGATTGGCTACTCCACCTGTCCCTGTATGGCGTAATCACACCTGTTGAAAGAGTTGGCATTGGCATCTGAATTGCTGCCAATTCTGACCCATTGCAGAGGAATGGCACTGATAATGAGAAGACCGATTCAGCTGAGTTGATCCATGTCAAGGTGGAAACAGCTTGGAAGACATTCCTCCTCAGAATCCCTTATTTCTCCTTCACTGCTCAGAGACTACAAACAACTAAACTTACTAAAATTATCCCTTCGCCCTTCGCCCTACCACTTCCCAGAATTGCCCACGCACCCACATTCCTCCTCTCCCAGAGTCCATGCTCTGGAAACATTAACTGTTAGACTCGACAGAGTCGGGCCTGGCTGATATTGCCCTGGGCATGTCAGCAGGCAGGAGGGTAAACTGGGCATCAGGAAACAGCCAGCTGAACCCACCCCAGCACTTATTAAGTCACAGTGAGGGCATTTCAGGAGATTCCTGAGGGCAGGGATGGAGGGAGATGTCTCAGCGGGGGCTTGTATGAGCAATGATGCGCCTCTTAGACCCACAGGGAAGTTTTTTTTAAGAAATGTCTGTGGTCCTCATCCTGAAGGGAAAGTCATAGTGCCTCCCCCTTCAGGCCAGAGTTAATATTACAGCCACAGTCTAAATTTTTCATTGGACCCTGATTTGCATATTTAAAGACAGACTCCACCTGCTGGATGGCAGAAAACATTAACAATGGCAAGTTCCCAATGGACATTGGTGACTAAATCAACTGTTGGACTTTAACTGCATACCGACTAAGTTTGCATCAGGTTAGTGGGTTTAGAATGACCCTTTCCAAACAGCCCTGAACGCCCCTGTATCCTAGCATACCACTCAAATTCTAATTTCCAAAAATTTTCCACTCACGGTCTTGATTTTAATTCTTCCAACCCTCCATCTGTTCTCCCCCTCATCCCCCATCACCCAAACTCCAGGAGCCCAGGTCTATTCCTTCCTCCACACTAATATGCCCTGCAGTCTGACCAAACTGTGAGGTAAAGCATTATCACATGCACATGCGAACATGCAAACATACAAACATACAAACATGTGAATGCGCACGTGCAAACAAAGGCTTGTCTTTAGTCTTTAGTTCTGTCTCTAGTTCATTATATCCACCATTATGACCATGTAAGAATAACACAGACACTGAGCTTCCTATATCCAGATGCTTTGGTATGGGGGGGGGGGTCACCAATGTACTCTGTAGTAGAGACATGGTGGCAGATGTTTAGAAAAAAGATTGTCTGTTGACATGACACAAGAACAGGGAGATCTGATTAGTTCTGTAACTAATTTATCACAATCAACCCCCACCCCACATTCTGAATAGTCTATAGGTAGATGTAACCTTGCTCCAATGTACATTTCTCAATATGATGAGACTGGAAGAGTTCAATGTAATGTTTGCTCATAGGTTACCTTTGGAGACCAGATCATTCCAATCGAGCAAGGGCTGCTGATTCGCCAGACAGATCTCCAGGACGCTGGTACCTACCATTGCCAAATTGAGGACCATGGTTTTCGCTGGACCCTGCTGAAGCTGCAACTGCATGTCATCCCCGCTGGCCAGATGGTGAACCTGCATGAAGGCGTTGAGCAATTAGCTGGTCCCGTGAAGGACCACACCCTTCTGGGCCCTGGCCATAGCCCTCAGCCTTGGTACAAGAACATCATGACCCTCATCAACTATCCTTCCAAGATGGACTTCTACTGCGAGCAGGTCTGGCAGAAAGACTACAAGAAGAAAAGGAACAAGCTGCGGCTGAGCAAGAATCACCGTAGCGTGGAGCCCAGCCGGAGAAACAAGCCGGCGACAAGGAGCAGACGGAACAAAAACAAACCACATGCCAAATTTCTACGGTCACCCCGCAGTACCTAGCACTACCCAGATTCACCACAGCAGAGACACTCATCCAAAGTATAGCAACAGAAGGCTCCAAAACTCTAGATCTTTCCAAAACCTTTTCAACTCCAGTAAATGAAAGGCTTCGCATGCAATACAATCTTTGAACTGACAGAACAGTTGCCTTGTTTTGGCTGAGGGTAGTTATATAGTTGTCCAACACATCTCTCTTCCCCTGTCGTGGAGGGATTTCTAGTTAGTCCATAGCTGACACAGAAGGGAGTTGAGGAAAGCTTGTGGTTTTTGGCTAAGTGTATTTTCTGATAACGATAGGTTTATGTAGGGTCTTGACATGAGCTGTTCGGCTGCTTATGAGCCTAAGGGTTGAAAGAGTTGGCTAACAGTGAAGAAGATCACAAAAACACCACTAGAGAGAGAATAGGCTTAAACCAGAGCTCTAGACATTTAGCTGCCATTAAATTGGATAAGTGGCTGTTCAAATGGAAAAGTAGAAAGTGCCATAATCATTTCAACCACTATTTAGAAAGCCCTACAAGATAATGAACCTCTGCAGACACTACGCTATTTCAGTAAAACAAAAGATTGAAAAATTCCACACAGCATTAATGTTTTCCCAATGACTCATGGAACAGCCCCACCAAAGTTCCCTGGAAGGTGAGAGGGAGGGGTGATGGCATAGTGGTCATGTCATTGGACCAGTAATCCAGATGCCAAGGCTAATGCTGTGAGAGAGTGGGTTCAGATCCCAACATGGCACCTGGTAGGGTTTAAAATCAATTCATAAAATCTGGAATTGAAAGCTAGTGTCGGTAATGTTGACCATAAGACTATCAGCGATGGTGCAAAAAAAGTCCAAAGGTGTGCAGGTTAGGTGGATCGGCCATGCTAAATTGCCCACAGTGTCCAGGGATGTGCAGGCTAGGTGGATTAGCCATGGGAAATGTAGGGATAGAGTGGAAGGGTGAATCTGGATGGGATGCTCTTTGGAAGGTTGGTATGGGCTGAATGGTCTCCTTCTAAAACTCATTTGTTTCATGAATATGCCTCTATAGGGAAGAAAATTCACCATCCTTTCCCAGTCTACCCTACATGTGACTCCAGAACAACGGTGATGTAATTGACTCTGAACCATCCTCTGAATGGCCTAGCAAGGGCACTTGGGGATGTGGAACATATACTGGGGCATATTCTGGGATAGAATACAGAGATATCTACATTGAATCTTTGGACTTCAGAAAGTGAACAGACCTGAAACATGCTGATGTTGGGAAACATTATTAGAAATGCTGGCTGGGGTCAAATCAGGTTCGCCAGAGTTCACAATCATTTCCCATGAAGCCTTGCTCATAATGCATTCAGTAACATCAAGGTCAGGATCAGCTATTCCTTCCGCACCAGTGTTCATTATCAATTCTCACAGTGAAGGCTGGTTACTCAAGCAATAAAATTTTACTGGAATTTGCTGGCAATCTTGGACAAAGAGCCAACACCTCCTGAGGCTGCTTGCTCATTCGAGGCACTTCCTATGACACCTGGATGGCGGTTAAAATCTGAGACTCCCAGCTCCAGTGAAGGGGCTGCAGGGATGAAATGCCACAATTAAGCATGCCCGTCATAACTCCTGCTGAGGAATCTTCTCCCTCCATCCTGATGACCATAATTGAGGCCTATTCATCTGATGACTGCTGTGCAGATGACCATTGTTCCCTCCATGCTCAGACACACTTGTGACTGCCTGCCTCAACCAGTATCCATGTCTCGCATTGTGGCTATTGTGGGATCGCTCTGTGGGCCAGCAGCCTTATGGATCCACAGCCTCGGGGGCCCACCCCTTGAGCTCAATAAGATGGTGAAGTCAAAGGTAGCTCATTAGTTGCCTGGCTCCTATGGTGCTGCAAACTGACAATATGAGCAGATCTCATATAGCTATATATTGGGATCCTGATGCGCGCTGGAAAATCCAGCCCCTAATTTCTGCAAATCGAGATAAAAGCTTGCATCCTGCAACTGATCCTTGAGTTCACTTGGAACGCATTCAATTCTGAGCTAAATATTACAAATGACCTTCCCCTTCTTTAATCCTGTTTATTGAACCTCTTAAATTATTGTTGAAACACTTCAGAGTTTCACAATTAAATCGAAATCGGTCAGTTTGGATTGTTTACAGGGTACGATTTTATTCAGGCTGGAAGATTTTCTCCCAATCACTCCTATTGGAGAATCTCTGGTTATCACGTTATCTCTGGTTTGACTCCTATTACTGTCTGTACCATTCTTGCTTAGTTTTCGGTTTTAACGATGTGTATTGATTGTAATGAGGTCAGCCAGGTCGACCTCATAGAATACGAGTTCGCTGATTGGACCAGATTAACAGCCCCAATCAGGGAGCCCTAGCTGACAGATATAAAGAGGAGTGTCAGCGGTTCTGTTCACTCTGAGAGCTGGCTCTGTGCTAGCTGGTTCGGCATCAAGGAGTCTCTACATGTAAATAAAGGGTGACTTGGTGATGGGATACTGGCCTGTGTGAAGTTATTTCACAATGCAAAATTTTAAAATGCTATCATTGAATCTTAGACTTAGAGGCTTTCCCAAGTCTGGTGACATATGAGGCAGACAAAGCATTGATTTGTTAGGTGCCACTCTATATCTAGCATCCTGACCTTTGGCTCTCCCACTGTTACCGTCTACCATGGGAATATTGAATAATGTACAGATTTATAGTCAACCTGTTTTGGACACATTATGAATGTGTCTTCTGTGGCCAACAAGCCCCGCAGGAAGACTCAAATCTGAAGCTTCTGTCTTGGTGTCAGGGCCTCTGTCTACTCCATCACAAAACTTTCCCCATCTACTGATCACTGAACTCAACAATTTAAAATTATTTTCCAATTTTTAGTGCAAAAACCAGTTGACTTCCACCTTGATTTTATTGCAACAAAATATTGATGGAAGCTGCTTAAGCAGGCAGCAAACCTGTCACCATTTATTTCCAGATTACAATAGCCACGTTGTCTCAGTGGGTCAGAATATTGGCCTTTCAAATGTGGACCTCGATGTAAGTCTAGCCCAACCTGGTGCAGTAAAGGCTGCAAACTTGTGATAACTCCATTAGTTTTGGATAACCCTAACCCAGTAACCAGCAGGTAGTAAGGAGACAGTTTATGAGTGCCCTTAATGTACTGCACAAGAAACCAAAGTAGTAATGTCATTCACTCTAGGTGGGAAATGGACATTTTGTGGGTGAAATTTCTGCTTAGGTTAGATACACTTTGTGTTTTGACCCTGTTTTACTTGCTATTGAGCACTCAGTGTTAAGAGCATCCTTAAAAATAAATCACAGGATTGTCACTTATCACACTGATAAATACATTAACAAAATTATGAAAAGTGCAAAACTCTAAATACTAACAGGGAAAAATATAATCATCCTGTGCAAATCCTCCCAACATTTCAACACAGGTGACCTGCTCGAATCAATATTTTTTTTTCCAATTGGAGATGCAAGAGGTATAGTGTAGTCACGACATGTGTTACCTCTAACTCCAATAAAAGTGTCATGGCCTGTGTCTTTTGGAACATTCTTCTGCATTAAAAGTGATGTACAAATACAGATTGTTGTTCTGTCCTCAGTAGGAAGGTGAAGTTGTATAAATGGTCAGTAATTTCACCATGTTGATCACGTTTTCTTGTTTATGTGTGTATTTTCTACAATAACTCTTAGAATTGATATCACATTATGGACCAAAGCCCTAATATGCATTATTAATACCTGGCAAGTGACTAGAAAGAAAGTTTTCTGCAAAGTACGAACCACTTTGAATAAGACTGTCCATGGACTGAGCGGTATACTGGCAATATCAGTTAAAAACACTGCCTTTTCAGCCCAGCATTTCAGATGCAATCTCTTTTGAATTCAATAACTGGATATGGACAGTGTCTTTTGTCTGTCCCTATGAATTGGAAACCTATGCCAGCTCAGTGCAATCAATGGCTGTGAAGAGGGACGTAGTCAGGGATTAGGAATTGGGAAGGGAGGAAAGAGGTCTTCAAGAAATTATAGGCTTTGAAGACTCTATAGGATGCATGAAAGCAAATTGGCCAGAGTTTGGGGTTGAGGCAATATTTTCAGGAAGGGTGGCTTGGTTTGAAGCACAGTGGACTTGTTGCTTTATTCATTCCAATAATATAGGCACCGCTGTCAATTCCCAACATTTAATGCTCATTCCTAATTGAGAAGGTGTTGATGAGTCGCTTTCTTGAATCACAGCAATGCTGAGAGGGAGGGAGCTCCAGGAATTTGACCCAGTTATAGTGAAGGAGCAGTGTTAAATGTACAAGTGAGGGTTGTGTATGGCTTGAAAGGGAACACAGAGATTATGGCATTGCCAATGTGCTGGCTGCCCTTGTCCTTCTAATTAATGCAGGTCGTAGGTTTGGGAGCTTTTGCCAAAGAAGCCTTGGTAGTCCATTAGCATTTATTTTTCACTAACTTTCCACCTTTTTCAGATAACACAGTTTTTCTATCAGGTTACAATCACTGAGGATTTCTAACTTAATTGAATTTTTCAAAAATTTTATGCAGTCCCTGGGCTTTATAGTTTTTAAATTCATGGTTTAGTACACCTATTAGTTATAATTAGGTTACAAAAATGATGACATACTCTTCATAACGTTAAATTCGGTCATAGGTCAGAGGTGAATAACCTATGCAGTGAGTAGCTCCAGCTTATTTATGACTTCATTTACAAAGTGTAAATGTAAAGCTATTTAAGACAGTTGTTACCTGGGCAACATTTATGTAGGAAAGTGTGAAAAGCATTCGCATTGTCCGACATAATGGGAAGAGGTTCTGAAGGTATTAAATGCTTTCAAGTGTATTATTTAATTTTATTTTTGTGTTTTATTTCTGTACATTTGTTGTTTTTCTCATTGAGGTATGTATATATTTAGTTTGTGAATTGACCATGTGACCCTATGTTATTAATAATGACAATGTCTCCTGCATCTCAGCTTTGAAATAAAATTGAATCTTCTGACTGATTTTCTCATTGGATGTTTTCTTTTACTCCTTGATCGCATTCAGAACGTGGCAACTGATTCATCCTTTTGCTTTTCGTTGACTTCTTTCGCTCTGTGCCTCCACCCAGTGATCTGAAGGGAATCAGAAACTTGGCACAATGGGGTTAGGGAGGGAGGGAGGACCCCCAGTATTTATAGGGAAGCAGGCTGCAAGGGGGTTGTGACCTGGAGACTGGAAGGAACAGGTTTGATAGCAGGCCCTGGCTACCAACCTTGCATTGCTTCTCAACATCACAGCCAGCCAGAATGTGAGCCCAGTAAGCTGAGGCACCCCTCTGAAGACAGGAAGTGTCGAGGAGGGAGAGAGAGATTGCAGGGCTGGCAGGAGCATCAGTGTTGGTGGGAAAGGGATGTGGGTGCGGTGGGGGGAGGGCAATCAGGCTGATGGCAAAGATCACTGTGGTTTGGTGGGGAGGTGGGCTGTGAAGTTAGAGGAAGAGCAGGCATGAATGGTATGGGAAGGGAGGGGGTGGTGAGATTGACGATGAAGATTGTGCAGGTTGGAGGATTCCAGAGGGGAGATTGGAGGGAGGCTCCAGTGGATACAGTGGTGGGGCTGACATTAGATTGCAGAGTGGGTTAGCAAGGTAGCTTGGTGGGTCTGGCCCAGGAGAGGGATAGAATAGAGAATTGGAAGTGGTTGGTTAGTCCAGATGATTTCACTCAATCTGGTACTAACTGCTTGAAAATCAAAACAACGAGAAGTTTCAACAGCAAGTTGTCTCCCGTCCATCATAAAAAGACCTGATGTATTTAATAACTGGCTTTATCCCTACATGAACATTTCATCATAGCAGCCCTGGCTTTCTATTCTTATTTTAATGAATTGCATTTAGAAAAAAAATCAAAGGTTTGTGTCAACCATTCAGAAGGAAACGTATAGTTGTTAAACATTGCCTACATTAGAAGTATTTAAGTTATGGCTATTGATCACCCATGGCCTCAGAGGCGAACCTTGTTTTAAACTATGGTTTGCTTTTTGCATCTTTGTTTCTCATTCTCTGACTTTCCACTGTCTTTCATTGACTTTTTCTGTCCTTGGATCAGAGCCTGACTTTATGTGTTAGTCTAAGGTAGACACACCACCTTGTTTATCATCTCTCCCAATTGTTCTGATTGAAGATGTTGAAAGAAGTAAAATGGGATACTGAGTCTCTATTACTTATTTTTACACATTTACGCAAAGTCTAGATCTAGCCATTGTCAACAAGGCCACAAGCTAAGTGCTGGAAAATAGGATTAGAATAGATAGATACTTAGTATGAACATAGTGGGCCGAAGGGCTCTTTTCCTTGCTGTAGAGACTCTACGATTCCATATCTACACTTGCCTTTGGCAAAAATTATTGAGTCTCAGTATTTGGCCATTGCTTCCTCAATTATTCTTCCTTTTCTAACTCCATCTTGTGATCCCATCTTTTCTTTCTCTATCTCATATGATTTTTATCTCAATATTTGCCTCTCACATTTTGACCACCTTTGTCTTGGCATCATTATGATAGAACAAGTCAATCTTTATTTTTAATTCATTCATGGGATATGAGCATCATTGGTTAGGTCAGCTTTATTGCCCATCCCAGTTGCCATGGAGAAGGTGGTCGTGAGCTATCTTCTTGAATTGCTCAGTCAATTTGGTGTATGTACCACAGCGCTGTTAGGAAGGGACTTCCAGGGTTTTGACACAGTGAGAGTGAAGGAACAGCTCCAAGTCAGGATAGTGTGTGGCTTGAAGAGGAATCTCCAAGACCCTGTGCCTCTGCTGCCCTTATCCTTCTAGATGGTAGAAGTTGCAGGTTTGGAAAATGCTATCAAAGGGGCCTTAGTGGGTTACTGAACTACATTTTGTGTGTGGTATACATTGCTGCCACTGTGCATTAGTGGTGAAGGGTGTGAATGTTGAAGGTGGTGGATGGGGTGCCTGTCAAGCAGACTGCTTTGTCCTTGTTGCTTCTTGAATGTTGTTGGAGCTGCACCCAACCAGCCAAGTGGAGAGGATTCCATAAAAAAAGGTGTTGAAATTTGTTGGAGCTCACCCAAACAGGCAAGTGGAGAGTATTCCATTAAAAAAAAGTGGACCGTAACGGGAGACATTGACCTGCTCTTGTAATCACAGCATTTAAATAGTTGGTCCAGTCCAGTTTCTAGTCAATAGTAACTCCCAGGATGTTGATAGTATGGGATTCAGTGATGGAAATGCCATTGAACATCAAGGAGAAATGGTTAGATTCCATCTTGCTAGCTTTTATCATATGATGTTAATGGAATAACAACCAATTGCTTATCAGATGTTGATTAACTCTGAGGGTTGTTTATTTAAAACATTGTAAGTT